TGTGATCACATTTTTACCTCCGAGACCTGTTGATACACTCAGTGACTTAGGTCACTGCAGAGGTCAGTCTGGCTATGCCAGCAAGCCAGGCTCTGAATTTGTTAGGAATACAAAAGTCTGAAGAGACCCAGCCAGAAAGATGGTCAGCTCTATGCTGGGCCTAGGCCAGTTCCCAGCTGAGAGGGCGGGCTGGGAACCACAGCCGATGGGGACAGTGATGGATGGAGTGGCCTGTTCCGGCACATTCCGTGTTCTTTCCCACAGGCTCCGCCTGGCCTTAGAGAGCTGCTTCCTCTGCGGATACTCAGTGGTATTCAGCTGGGAACTGGGTAATGTCGTGGAGGACACAGGAGCTCCCCTGGGCCCACAAGCAGCCATGGGGCCTGGGAATTTTCTGGAGGGTGGGAACAGGGAAATGGCAGAGACTGGGATGGATTGGGGGAAGGAGCCAGGCCTCCCTCACCCTCTTTCTTCCCAGGGACCACCCTAGACTCTGCCAACTTCAGGCACCATGGGATGGTGTATGGGTGCCACAGCCTCAGAGTTCCCTACTCTTTCAAGTCCCTCGGGGGATCCCAAACCTCTGTCAGGCCCTATATGCAGTTACTAGGATTCAGAATAGGAAGCCCATAAACTCTTTTCTGGGAAGGACTGGTGGGAAGATAACATCAGCACCCTCCCCCCAAAAAAGATAACATGGGATGCTGGACATACTTAAAGACCTTAGAGGCTGGCTGGGGTCCCCTGGATGCAGGGGCCCCTGAGACCAGCAGGGCTAAGCTATCCAAATCCAGTTTTATTGCTAGCTTCTCAGCTGGGTGTTTAGGAGAAGTCACTAGACCACTCTGTGCCTTGGTTTCCTCACCCATAAGGTGGAGCAGGATTGTATGGATGAGGGCTGCTGAGACAGATGTCCCTCACCACACTGAAGACTTGTTGGACTGCATTGATGCCATGGGCCCCTTAGCTCATTTCCTTAGAATGAGGGAGCTGGACACTCCCACAGTATCCCCACCTGCCACAGTACACCAACTACAGTATTGCCCTAAGCCAAACAGCAAGCAGGAGACAAAGTATGGTGTAGAGCTGATGACGGAAGTTCCCCAGCGACCACTCCAGATTGGGTGACCACACAAGCCTGTGTCCTTTCTGCTGGTCGGAAGGTTGATCCCAGGGGCATGGACATGGATCTGGCTCCCTACACATCTCCGTGCTTCTTCCACAGGGTTCCCACTGTGGCTGCAAACAGCCACCGTGTCGATTGCCTGTACGAAAGAGTTCACAGCAGTGGCGTGGCCTGGAGCTGATGCACAGTTCCGATCCTGGCTGTCCCAACCACAGGCCATGACTTTGGTGGGTCCCTGGAGGGGCTCTGAGGTCAGTAGCTGTCACCTGGGATAGTCAACAGTGCTGCCCCCAGGACAGGACAGCTGTGACTTATTTCACTCCCACCTGCTCACCTTGCAATCCAACTAAGCAGGCAAAAGAAACTCTGCCCAACTGCCTGGGAACAACTCAGAACCTGGGCTCACAGGCCTCGGCAGGTCGGTACAGAAAGGACAGTGTGGCTTGAGACTGATGGACAAGACCCAAACCTGTACTGCACAGCTAAGTGGCTTAGAAGAAATCACTTCTTGGGCCTCAGTTTCCCCCTTTATGAGATGGCGCTGTAACAGTACCTCTAGAAGGTTGTGAAGGCTGAAAATCTAGCAAGAGTGTGGCTGACCCTGGTGGGACAATGGGAAAAGAAAAGCCAAAGCCCAGACTTCACGGTGGTCTGGACCTCTCCAGGAACAGCTCTGGAGGGACTAACCATTGCACTAGCATTTGCAGGCTTTCTGGGAAGCAAGAAGCTCAGTGGCTTCCCAGAACATCCACTAGCGGGGACTCTTAGCTGGCCAGTCCTGCTCAGGCTGTTATGGATGGTGCCTGGAGGGTCCTGAGGGAAGCAGGGCAGGAAGATTCAGCCTGAGAAGGACAAATCTACTAGCCTAGTTCCTGACATTGGCTTTTCTGGGCCTGTGGGGCCCAGGAGGCCTTCCCAGCCACTACAGTGCGGGGTAGAAATTTAACGAATGCAGCTCAGTTGGTAGAGCAGTTTTGTACCATGCACAGATCCCTGGGTTCCATCCCCAGCACCCATAAACTGGGCGTGGTGACACACACATGTATTCCCAGCATTTAGAAGTGGAGGTAGAAGTGTCAGACATTCAATACCATCTTTGGCTACACAGTAAACCTCTAAATAAGTAAGTAAATAAATACATCAAACAACTGTGGTACAGGTTCTATGAATGATATCCCTTACCTACTTTGGTACCACCACACAGACACACACCTCAGGGAAGTGGACAGTTTACATACTTTGGAGGTAAGAAGGGGGCCCCTGGGGACAGCCTCTCTCAGCAGCCAGCCCCACCCACCTGGCCTAGACCATCTATCTGCTGGCACTCAGTGCTGTCCTCCATGCTCCCTATACCCTTTTCCTGAGGCTCCAGAGAAATACTTCCTCTTCGGGGCTGCCTCAGTGACCTCTACCCTGAGTCACCACCTTTTGGGGACTGCAATCTCATGAGGAAACCTTGAAGATAGGTCAACCAGGGAGCAGGATGTCTGCAGTGGGGTGACAGTCCAGAGGAAATGCCAGGAGGGGATGAGCTGGAGAGGGAAACAACATTCCCAGGGCATGCTGGGAAGTGGACACCCTTAGGCTGCTGGAGGGAGGGCAGGGAAGGGGTAACGGCAGGGCAGAGCAGCAGCCCCAGGTCCTGAAGGCTGCAGGTCCTCACACTCACTGGCTTTAGATCCCAGTATGGACATGTGATTTGAGGCAGGTCATGGCACTGCTGTGTATCTGGTTCTCTCTGAAATGGGTTTTGAGTGGAATGAGGACCATAGGGTTTCTGTAAGGACAAACGAGGTCTATGGGGCTCTGGGAACAATCTGCATCAATGAGCACTTGAAGCTCTGAGGCAGATAGATGACCTCTGACCTCTGTGATTCAGGTCCTATTAAAAAGAAAGAACGTTAAGTGTCTGTAGGTCACCAGGGACCTGCAGGGTGCCTTTGACATTGTGGTCATGCAAGTGGTGGCCACTGCAACGTGGTACCGAGGCTTGTGGCATCAGTGTGTCTACCAATGATCCAGCACTGATCAAGTGTGCTGAGAGCTAACGACTAGTGGCTAGCCCAGCTGCTCATAGTGCCTTCACTCAATTGGTTCTACTTTGTTTAGTACTTGAAGCTCAGGTGAAGTCACTTCTCCTCTGTGAAAGGCTTCAGAGACACAGAATGTCCCCAGTGTCCTGGGCCTGTGACCAGGACCAGCCTGGCACTTGAGACATTTGGCCTTGGCAATACCATCCCAAGCAGCCCCAGTTGCCCGAGGGCCCAAGGGCAGACTGGACAGGTGAAGGGCTGGTGAGGACGGGCTGCTCCGTGCTGAAGCAGCCAGCCACAGTTGCCTTCTTTGGTTGTTGTCACCGGAGACTGGCCATCAGCCCCACAGCCAGGCATGGTGTTGATAGGTTCCCACAGCTGCGGCCACACATGTGCCCAGTCATCAGCCTTTGGACAGGTGGGGGAGGGGAGAGGCCCAGCTCCGGCAGGAGTGGGGACCAGAGGCCACAGCTGGGGGACAGCAGGTGCCGCAGCCTGGGTGGCTGCTGTGTACCATCTGCTCCCATTCTGCCCCTCCTTGTGGGCCCAGAAAGATGGGGGCCTCTTGCCTCTCCTTGCAGGCCCAGAAACAAGCCATCATGGGCCACTGGGCTTATCTAAAGTGTCTCTGCGCTTCTCTCCCCTCTGCAGACCAGGAAAGGAGTTAGATGAGGGCTTCACTGTTTCTGGTCTGCCACCTGCTAGATGTCACTTACTGAACACCAGCCACAGAGGCTGGGTCACCTAGACTCATATGTGTCTGAAATGGGGTGCAGGATGTGAAAGGCTGAGGGGTGATGCCTACAGTTGCCATGACGATGGCTAAGAGTCAAGGCGTTCTGAACTGTGTGACTTTGTCTCTGTCTTCACCCTCCCCCCCCCCACAATGAGAGACCCTGTGGGTAGGTGGGATGAGAGTGTGGCCGCCAGGCAATCACTGGGGCAGAGAGGTCTGCTTTCTGCCCATCACAAGCAGGAGTCATCTCTTGCTGGCTCTGGAGAGCTGGCCACATGACAGGCTTACACAGGTCCACCTACCCTACCTGACCATACCTTAAGATGAAAGGGAAGCCCCAGTACTACTTACCATCCCCTGCAAAAAAAAAAAAAAAATGCCCTAAGCAAGGCTGCCCCTTGGATTTAGGGCGGCCCCTGCCTTTGCTTCATGGTCCTATTCTGGAGCCCTTGGATATCCAGGATCCACCTGGTAATCAGCTCACCCTGACCATCATCACCATCTTATCTTCCTACTCATCTGACCCTGACCTGGGCCCCTTGATGAGAGTTGGGTCACTGGAATGTGGTTGTGCCTGGATGTCCTGAGCCTGTGGGTCACATTTCAGGGACCAGGCCCTAAGTACCCCGACATCCACAAGCCTCCCATAGGGCTCACAAGGACCATAGGGCAGGAAGGAGATGGTTAAAATTGTGGTTCCATCTCCTGAAGCCAGTTTGCCTGTCCCCTCCCCCGCACAAGTCCTAGAGGAGAATCTCAGCTCTGGAAATCTGGGATCATCACTCCCCATATATCTTATAAATGTAGATGCTTATCACAGGTCAGGAGAATTGAGATGGGGCCTGAGCATGGAAACCGGCACTGTGTGCTCCCACATAGACACTGGTCCTGACGAGCCCACCTTTGGCCTGGTTCTGTGTTTCACCTGTGCATGGATGCTAGCCACCTGTGAGAACACTTGGAGCTCCCACTGGATGGGTGGAGTCAGGAGTCCACCTGGCCAGTGGAAGCTTAGGCCGCTGCCCACGTGCTGGCTAGCCAGCTCTGCCCTCAGCTGCTTGATCTGTCTCTCTCTTTCTCTCTCTCTCTTTCTCTCTCTCTTTAGCTGACAGGAAGGAGAAGGCTGCAGCAATGCCAGACTCTCCGGCTGAAGTGAAGACGCAACCCCGGTCCACACCCCCCAGCATGCCACCCCCACCTCCCACTGCATCCCAGGGAGCCACACGACCACCCTCCTTCACACCTCACACACGTGAGTTCCCCCTCATATCTCCCGAAGCAGACCGGGACAGGGAGTGTAGAGTAGATGGAACCATTTGAAATTCTGTACTCTACATTTAACATAATGTGGCCCTGTGCTGCATTTGCAGCCTAATCTTAGGCTCAGATTCCCGCTCCTCCTACTTACTTCGCTCACATCTTTGGGTGAGCTCCTTCACCTTTCCAGCCTGGTGTCCTCATTTATAAAGTGGTGCCCTGCTGTGGTTCCTGTCTTATAGCCACTGTGAAAATGATGTAAGTTAACAGACATTAGTAACAGCCTATAAGCACTGATATCTGAAGGCCACAGGTACTTAGGCTTGTCTCAACAGCCCAGAGTAGAGGCTGGAGTACACAGCCCTCTGGGGTGGGAGCTGGGGGGATTCCAGAGAGCCTAGAGAAGGCATGGCAGCTCTCCTCCATCTTTTCTTCGAAAGATTGTGACTTATACTTTGGGTTGCTGAGCAGCTGTGAAGACAAACTCCCAGGGTTGGGCCATTAAAAGGGACAACGTCTTGTGCCCCTCCCTCCCCCAAGGTGAAGGCTTAGAAGTGTATCCTATGTGTTCTGGCAGGAAGAAAGAAGCCATGTGCCACCCCCCACCACAACCTCAAAGACACATACTTGACCCTTCCCAGATCTCAAACTGAAGCAAGACTCCTCTTTGAGAGAGGGGTCTCAATACCTCAGCCTGGTGTCACCTGGTTTCCAGGGCATGGGTGCTTCCTCTCTGGTCTCTCCATCCCTGGACATAGAGCACTGACTACTCTGTCCTTCGAAGATAGGGCTCTAAACAAAGCCCTGCTGTCTAGAAAAAGGCAACCAACTCAACCTGAGACCAGCCTTGTCCTGTTGACAGGGTGTCAGGCTCCTATTCCAGGTACAGTGGCATGGTGCCAGGACTGTCTGAGAACATGCCCAGCACATGGCAGGTTGTCTCATGGCTAAATGCCCATATACACCTTCCAGTCTCTTGAGAGGTTCTGGCTCCCACTTCCTACAGGGTTAACCTGGGGTCCAGTAATTAATGAGCCTGGAGTGGGGACTCCTAGCTTGTCTCTTGTGGCTAAGACTCTACCCTTAGCTACCTGCTGCTCTCAGAGGACAGATGGGTCTGCCAGGCCCTGGGTCTGCCTGCTGGCCATGCTCCTCCAGGCCAGAGGTACCTGTGCCTTTTCTTACATTCTTCCTTCCATGGTGACGTGACTGGCGTAGTTACATTTCCCTCCTTCCCTCTGGGCTGAACTGCAGGTAGACTGACTGCTGGGCAGATGCAAAGCTCATCCAGTGGGTGAAAGGGGGCTCTGTGGAACTGTACCAATGTCACCAACCAATGCCATGTCTTAACTTAGGGACAGATTGTTTGTTTTGGGGGGTTTGTGCCACCTCTCCCAGTAGTGAGGCCATGACACACTTCCTGAAACAATGGTCCTCCAGATGTTTGGAGGCCCCAAGCAGGAAGGAAGAAAGAGCAGCTGACAGGCGAATCTTGGACTCTAAGCTGTCACCGACCCTGAGGGTGTGCCTCCCCCAGCCTGCATTTCCCTGTGGACCAGTTCTTATCCCGAAAACTGGCCTGGACACCAGATGTTCCTGGTTAGGAGTGAGGATGGGATCAGCTGGGACCTTCAGGGCCTTACTTTCGTGGGGCCTGTAAACAGATGTGAGGGTGGCCAGAGCATATGTGGGGCATGGGGAGGAGTTTCATTCCTCTGAATCCCCAGTCCCACCCTGGGGGTTGCAGCTCTGTCCATAGAGCACAAGGCTTTCATTTTTCTCTAAGGTGACACTTCCAGTCTGTGGGGTGACTAGTTGGTGTATAAGTCTGAGGCTCAGGCCTCCTGAGGTCACCTCAGGTTTGTTCCTAATCCACATGGTTAACCACACCCCTGCACCTGGCTGGTGGCAGTCCTGGTAAAGCCTCCACAGCCAGCTGCAGATTCCTGCCCAGTGCTTCAAGCCAAATGAAGAGACTGACCTTGAACCTCTACTTGAGGGCTGTGGTTTTCCTGGCCCAGTGACCATCCTGGGCACAGATTGGTGTGGAGACCTGGGACAGAGCAAGAAACATTGATCCAGACTACACTCCTCTTAGGCAGGGAGCCCCTAGGTGGGTTCAGCTCCCATCTGCCTTTGTATGCTTCTGAGACAGGGGGCTCTCACTACTCCTAGAGAAATTGCCTGTCTCCACTGACAGCCCCACCTAAGTACCTCAGACCTGAATCTCAGTAACTGAAAACACATAGCTTAGGTCCCAAGTCCCTTAAGGGACAGTGCTGAGGGGGTAACCAGGCACTTCCTGGGGGAGGGGCTCAGCTTTTAGGAGGTATGTGCCCTGCTCATTCTGACAGATACCCAGTGCAACCATTATTTTTGCAGAGGAGGAAACTGAGGCCCAGAGGATTGGACTGACCCCCAATGGCACAGCATGGTCTCTAGGACTGCCACTAAGCAGCAGAGGGGATGGGCTGCTGCGGCGCCCTCCTGACAGCGTGTTCTTCTTATTTTGCTTACAGATGGAGAGGATGGACCTGCGACGTCTCTGCCCCATGGCCGTTTCCACGGCTGCTTAAAGTGGTCCATGGTCTGTCTCTGTAAGTAAAATAACAAGAACCATGGGCTTTAAGGAGGCCACCTGGGTCCTTCTCGCTGCCTCTATACTCCCTTTGTTGGACAAGAGAGGCCCAGGGGCCTAAGGGCTAGAGACTGAGACCCTCAGACATTGTGCTGGAATTGTGGCACCTTTGCATGTGAATGCCTACTGAGCTTTGTCCCCAACAGCCAAACAGGCTGCCTGGAGCAGATGCCAGGACTGTGAAGGGACAGTGGGGCATGTGTCAATGGCAAGTCAAGCTCCACTGTTTCAAGTGAATCTGGCTCCCACCCTTGACAGGGTAATGATGGGCAGGTATGGTTGCCTGTGCCTCAGTTTCTCCACCTGTAAAGAGATGCCACCGCAGTATGGAGTGCTGAAGGTGATTCATGCACCATGCTGGCAAAGCATTGTTGCCATGTCTGACCCACACCACATGCCCTGTGGGCATCAGTGGATGATTCCACCAAAGCTCTGGGTGACATTCAGAATATTTGTCCCCTATCATCAGGGGTTGCTATGGCTCAGCAGTCTTAACTGGGGCCAGTTAGCTGCATCTCCCAGGTGTGTGCAGCTGCCATGTAACTTCTGGGCTCTAAGAATAAGGAAGAGGTTACATGTGTTATTTATGTTCTATGTTGTCCTTCTTGCTGCCATCATTCTGTGCCATGCTTGGCCACACACTAGGGCTTGGCAGACAGCCTGACTGGCCATCAACTGTTGACTGGCTCTTGTGGTGGTGATTATGGTGTTCTCTTTGTTAGGGAGAAAGAATGGAAGAACTGTTAATAGGGTCCATGCATCCCAGGCCAACGCTCACCCAAGCATCGAGGCTGGGAAGCTATGGGGGTGCTAGTCTGTGCCCCCAAACATCAGCCGAGGACACGTGTGCAGTCTAACTTAGTAACACACCTGTTGTGGTAATGAAAACACTTGTGCTGGGGGCTATTTTTGGCGTCTCTTTAGCTGCTGAGACTGCCCGGCAGCCGCGGGAGGGAAGACAGACAGGCAGTGAGGCGAACAGGCCACCGGGGACCCAGGAGCCCAGAGCAAGGCTGGTAAGCGGGCCTCAGGGAGGACAGGACCAGGCCAGGCTGGGTCCGGTGGGTGGCGGACTAGATAATGTGGACATTGGCATGTCTTAGAAACTACTAAAAGGGCCAGAGCCCTTTCGATAAAATGCTTGACCTTAAAACACAACTCCACCTCTATTAGTGAGGTCTCCGTGGCAACAAGCCATCTCCCGGTCTGGCTGAGGTGACAGCAAGTGGCTCTCATTAGGTTTGACTGCAGCATGTGTGTTAGTGGCTGTCAGAGCTTACTAGTGAGAGGGAAGTCCACCCAGTGGGGTCCTCTGCACTTGGTGTTAGAGAGGCTAGGACCCAGAGCCGTTGCTGTGCTGTATGCAGACATCACTGACCACCCCAGAGCAAGAAGGGTGCGCCCACGCACAGACTTACCCAGGCCTGCTTCTACTAACATATAGTCATTCTGGAACTGGAATGAAGTCTTGAGATCCTTTGGGGAACAAGTGGAAAGACTTCAGCTTCCATGTGCATGTCCCCCACTAGTACAGAAGAGCAGCTTAGAACTGAATGCAGAGTGTTCCATACCTGGTGGCAGCATGGAAACACCAAGGTAGCATGTGAGCCAGCTTTTCTCCCCCCACATGTTCTGAAACTTCTGTCCCTTGGGAGCAGCTGTTGAGGGGTTCCTCGCATAACACCGAACATGCAGACTCTGTCAGGGTTGTGATCTCATGAGGGCCAGCTACCAGGTCAGCTGGAGGCATTTGCAGGCTCCATAAGCCATGGGTTGGAAAACAAGGAAGATGGCTATGCTGTGATCCTAGATCCCACCTCAGAACTTCAGAGTGGCTTGGGTCCTGGCAGAGGGACCTAGGTTTGGCCTATATTGTATATCTAGACTGACCTTGCTGCCCCAACCCTCATGGGTGATATGGGGGTGTCTGAGGACCTGTGAGAGTCCTTGTATTAGGTGACTGTCAGGGTGGAGGTGAGGACAGAGGAATGGGGAGGGGTGTACTCCAAGGGGACTATAACAGCAGCCACACCCACACTGTACCATAACAGCTCTGGGCTGGTTATTGCCTTATACTCATGTGGAAGGATCAGACAGTTGGGGGCCCCCAGCTGGGTCTACTCATGAAGTGTTTATCCCAGGGTCTTAGTGGCCCTGTATGCCTATGTAGATCTAGAACATGCTTATGTGGAACCACCAGCCCTGAACCTAGTTGGTTTATCTGGGCGGGAGCCTCAAGCAATTCTGGGCAAGATAGAGCCAGGCACTGCACTAGTTAGCAAGAAAGGGCTATGTGGGGCCCATAGGGGAAACAGAAACTCCAAGACTGGCCGAGTAGGACTAGGTCCCAAGTCCTGTAGTATTGAGCAGTGGTATGACAGGACCCTGCAAGAGCCATAGACGCCACAGAGATTTGAGGGCTAGGAAAGAGGGACTTAGGTAAAGACTCTACCTCACCTTTCCATGCCCAGCCCTTAGGCCTCCTCCCAGAGCTTGGGTCAAGATGTTCAGGCAGGTGAGGTCTAGAGTGACTTGCTGAGGTACCCACTGCCTGAAGCAAGAGGATACCCCAGGGAAACTCATCTAGAGTCCCTGAACCAGGCAAGCCTAGAGGAATCTTAAGTCTAGAAAGAGGGGTTCCCTCTCTCCCTTGGCACTTAGAACACCACCAGGCCTCACCATGGGTGGAATGAGACAGCTGGGGCCTTGGGGACTGTGGTCTTGAGGTCACCCCAGGCCTGAGAACCTGGCTTCTGCACACTTGGTGAAGGCAGGAGACAGTGGTGCATCCCTAAGGTTAGGAGGCATAAGACAAGAACAAAAGCAACAGTTGAGTGAGTCAGAGGTGTATGAACAAATGTCTACATATAGAGGTAGCCTTCATGACCTGTGAACTCTGACCTGTCTGCAGAGTCTGCTAATCATGCCTTTGTCACTCAGGGATGAGAGGCAAAGGACTCTGTGGCAACCCCTGGCCTTGGCCCTGATACTCTGAGTGGATGGCAGGACCATCTAGTCAGCCATGGCTCAGTGACTTGCAGCCATGATCCTGATCCTGTAGCATGCTTATCAGATGTCTCCTTAGTCACCTGATTGTCCTCAACATGAACTAGCCCTTGGACACAGCCTTCTGTGTCAAAATCTCCTGAAGAATTCAACCAGCTCCTCCCAGGGGTTCTCAGTTGCTCTGCCTGATCTTGAGTCTCATCAGCTCAAGCATTGGGCTACTTGCTGGCAATAGCATTACTGAGGCTTAGAGAGGCTCCCAGGACAGTGCTCAGGGCTGAGGAGAGTCAGGGGTGGGAAAGAGATCGGGTAGAGGGTATTGCTTGAGGCTGTTTCAACAAGGGCAGAGTTGCTGGCCTTTTCTTGGGGTGATGGGGGGTGACTTCTCATTTCCCGTACCATGGGTGAAGAGGCCCAGTGCTTGCTCATAGTGGAAACCTGAGCCAGTCTGGTAGGATGGACTGGGCATTTGCTCATGTGGAGGACCTACAATATTGGCTGGTATGAAGGTCTTGACCTCAAGTCCAGGGTAAGCCCCCAGGGACACTGTAAGCCAACCCCACAAATGTTTGTCTCTGTAGCTACTCCCAGGGTGTGAGCTCTACCATGCTCCTGAATGTGGTACCTGGGGGGAAGGAAGTCACTTTCCCAGTACCAGTTTGCATATCTGTAAGAGTATAACACCCATGAGCAGCACAGTATGGTTGCAAGGATAAAATGGCAGCTGTGTAGTATACTGGACATGGCCGCTCTGAACTCTACTGTCATCATCATTGTCATTTGGGTCATTGATATCATTGTCACCAGGTGTACTTATGATCGTTAAGTGCAATTTTTATGCCTTGTCATAACACTCACGCGGTCCTCCTGCAGTGATGAACGGCAGCAGCCACTCACCTACGGCCATCCATGGTGCCCCATCTACACCCAATGGCTTCAGTAATGGCCCAGCCACCTCATCTACTGCCTCGCTGTCCACACAACACCTGCCCCCTGCATGTGGGGCACGGCAGCTCAGCAAGCTCAAGCGTTTCCTCACCACCCTGCAGCAGTTTGGCAGTGACATCTCGCCTGAGATTGGGGAGCGTGTGCGCACACTGGTACTGGGGCTAGTGGTGAGTCTCCAGGCCATCAGGCACCTGTGTTTCCCATGACAACCACTTTGCCATGGACTCCATCATTATGTCTACAACTCCATTATTCTCTCCTTATCACTCAGGCCAGACCCAGAGTCCCCTCCTTCCTGGGGTGGAGGTGGGGCAGCTGGTTCAGATAGTACATAGGAACCTTTAAATGAGGTGTTTTCTCCTGCAGAACTCAACTCTGACAATCGAAGAATTTCATTCCAAGCTCCAAGAAGCCACCAACTTCCCACTGCGGCCATTCGTCATCCCCTTTCTGAAGGTAACCAAATCCATCCTACCTGAGGGCTCCCTGAGAGGTCCCAGTCCCCAGTCTCCCTTCCTACCCGGCATCGTTCTCAGCTGCCCAGGAATATGGTGCTGACCACTAGATCTGACTAGTTAGGGCTGTAAACTAGTTGCTAGCCATCATGAGTCAGCCACAAAAAAATGTGTATTCTCATCCCTCAGCAGATTTGTTGCCTACTCCATGCCAGAGGCTGTGCAAGGGTCAGGGGATAGCATGAACAGGTAGACAAAGTTCCCTAAAGCAATAACCTTGTAGGAAGAGAGTGGTAGAATTTGGAGATGTGTACAGTAAGGAAATCACGGATGGGTATTTCATGGTGACTGAGAAGGCTGGAGAAAGCTTGGCCAGCGCTCTCAAAGAAACAGAGATAGTATATACAAAGGCCCTGGGGATGGAGGAACAGCAACTGTCCGTGTGGCTGGAATAGAGTGAAGGAATAGGTGTACAGAAGGCAGTGACCAGGTGATAGACAGGCAGGTTTGTGACTGGACAGCAGGGTAATGGATGCAGCCAGAAGATGCTGTGCTAAACACAGGACACAAACTTGGGACTATGGCTGCATGAATGAGTATGATACTGTACTGGATCTCTTTGGTAAAGTAACCAGAGCCCCCAAGCAAGGCAGATTCCTCACCCAAGCCCAAACACTCAGATGCGACTCTGCATTTGTTTGGGGGTGGGGGTGGGTTGGGTTTTGTTTGGTTGGGTTTTGTGGTTTAGTGGTTTTGTTGTTTTCAGTGCTGGGGTTGAACACAGTCTTGTACATGGAAGTGTTCCACTTCTGAGCTACAGCTCTAGCCCTTTCTAAGTTTCCCAGGATGGCCTTGAACTCCTTATACTCCTGCCTCAGCATCCAGTAGTTGGGGTTGCAGGTATACACCACCAAGCTTAGTGAGATGCTGGATTGTAAAATCTGGTAATCTGTACACACACGCACGCACGCACGCACACACGCACGTGCGCGCACACACACACGCGCACACACACACACACACACACACACTTGCTCGCTCACTCACTCACTCACTCACATACTGAGAATGAGCCAAGTCCTCATGTAGGGCCTGTGATACACTGCAGCCTTTCATTCTGAAGCGTGAAGGTGGCATGCTTCCAAATATGTAAGGTCTTTCCACTTAAACCTCTCAGAGAGATGCTAGCATGCCCACACCCTAGGGCACCCACCTCCACTTACAGCTACAGCCTCAGGTTATGCTTCCTGCATGTCTGTTTTCTTCTTTAGTCAAAGTTCAAGGTCAGACCACACAGGGAGTAAGCTCCAAGATGTGAGCCCCTACCTAGCTACCTAGCAGTCACTAGGCTGGCCCCACTCCTCTGTACTCAGCCCCTGTAGCTGGAGTCCTCCCTTCTCTCAGGGTAGTTACATCTGCAAGTTTTTTTAACTGCCTGATTTAGACCAAGAATTGATTATAAAGATCTCTGCACACATGCTCTGTTGACCCCATAGAGGGGGACACACAGGCCCTGACACTGTCGAGTTAGTAAGCAGAAAAACTGAAGCCCTCACTTTTGCATCTGGTAGAGACCCAAGGCTGGGTTTGAGCTTGGGTCTTATATGGTTCAAAGTTCCCACAAAATTCACAGTACATGTCCTACCAGCCTCAATCCTTCTGGCACCTCACAGGTGGACCCCACATGACACCCCATATCCACTGCATCCTCCCTCCCACCCACACCTTGATAGGCTCACACTGCAGCTAGTGACAACAGAGAAGCCTCGGGTGCCAGCGCGTGGGCCCATCTGGCAGTCATTTGCAGTGCGTTGGAGGCCCTCATTCCCTTCACCCTGCACATATTGCTGACTCTGCCACCTCCTGTCTTTGGGATGCCATGCGCCTGCTTATTTTGTCAGAGCCAGTGTTTACAGCAGATGCTCTGTAGCACTGACCACCTTATTTATGCCTGGAATATCCCAGCTTCCAATGCTCATGGTCCCTACCCTCAGTACCCTTTCCACCTAACCTAGTATGGCATCACCCAAAGCAAGTACTGGGCAGAACACCTTGCCCGGCACTGCTTTGTCAAGGGACCATCTCCACTTTCCTTTCTCTCTGCCCACCTCATAGCTCACCCAGGATTTCTGTGCCTCATTGTTAGGAACACCGGTGGTACATCTATCTCCATGATACAGAGCTCTTGGGGTGGAGGGACAGTAAGAACCAAAGGTAAAACCTAAAAATGCGAGGTTGTAGCCAGTCCTTCTAACCGTGTTGCCAAGACAAGAGCCAGAGCACTGGCCCACTCTGCCCAGTCAAGAGCATGGCTTCTTTGCTGGTACAGCAGTGCAGAATCCCAGAACCAATGGTCTAGAAACAGAGGAAGAGCTCAGGCAACTCCAGGTGCCTCACTGCCCTCACTGGATAGGGTCCCCTGTTGGCTGGTCAAGTGAGCCAGCATAGCACCTTACTGAACCTCCTGGCTTCTACAGTGCTTCTCATGGCCACCTCTTGGGATGCCCTTCCAAGAAGAAACTGTTCTGAAGGTGTGGCTGGGCAGAGCTTGGCTCCAACTCCAAGTTCCTCTTGGGTCCTTTCCTAGGCAAGACCAAAGTGCCTGCCACACAAGGGATAGGAAGAACCAAGTTAATTCACCTGGGGCTCACTGGAGCCTATCACACCAGGGCTTCCAGAGCTCTGGTTTACAGATGAGGCAGGAGGCAGTTGTGTGACTTCCCAAGGTCACACAACTCCTCAGTAGCCCAACCAGGGTGAGTGGTCCACCGAGTCTTGAGCTAGACAGCCTGTGGTGGAAGGGCTCTGCAGAGCAAAGTGAGACTCGTGGCTTAGCTGTCACGGTGGTGGTTCTCTTAGTGCCATGTATCCTCTCCCAGAGTCCTATTGAGGAAAAAGATGCTTTAGGTTTTTCTGGACATCAAAATCTCCATGCCAAGTGAAGTTGGGGCCCAGGTACCAGGTAACCAGCTTGGTGTGTCCTCTGAATGATATCTGGGACTTCTGAAGAAGAATGGGGACTTGTTCTTTCTGGGTGAACAGTACTCCTGTACCCCCAGCCAAGGGCTGCTGTGTTTCTGGACTGTTTGGCTAGCCTACCTGATACCTGGGTCCCCTCCACTCTGTCCTATACCTGCCTTCATGGAACTGGACAGTGGGGCTTTTCAGAAGCTGCCCCACCCAAGGCTCCAGCTCCCAGATGGCCCCAGCTGGCCAGAACCCCAGATGTTTCCCCACCCTAACAGCAACCAGATGGTGCTTATGCCCAGCCCCCGCCCCACCATGCTAGCCAAGAAGAGGACAGGGTGGGTGGGGGACTGGTGAGGGAGGAGACTCTGGGCTACTGAGACCTCCCAGGACCTCATCCCAGCTCATGCTTCTGACGTGGTCGGCAGATGGTGAGCTGGCCCCCGTTCAGCTATCCAAACAGAAAAACAGGCTTGGCAGCCACACAGCTCAACAAAAATGCATCGGCTGCCTGATGGGCCGGGTGGATGCGCCAACAGAGACTGAGGAGGCAGAGGCTGGAGAAGGCTGCCCTGGCAGCTTTGAAGCGCATGGGAAAGTTGTGGAGTGTGTTTATTTACAAATACTTAGAACTGCTGGCTCTCCTGAGAGCCCAGCATGCTCAGGGCCAGCCTACCACCCTACTCATGGCAGCTCTGGAAAGCCTGACCACCAGCAATGCCTGGAGACCCTGGGCTAGCACGAGGGTGACATTCAGAGGTTTAGAGATGGAGTCTATGAGCTCTTGTGGCCTCATCTGCAAATGCCGAATCGAACTGTGATGTCATGACTGAGGCTAGGGTTCATGCAGGTCATATTCCCCATGTGCACAGAGCTGCATGGCTGTGGAAGCATATACTGATGTCTGAGGTCCTGCTGTGAGCTTTGTTTCTGGTTGAGGCTAGAAAGTAGGAGGCAGTGGGAAGAGAGGGGATGGTTCTGTGGGGCTTCTGGCCAGTGCATTTTGGGGGGCTAGAGCAGAGATCCTGCAGCAGTTAGGGTCTGCAGGAAGCACCTCTGTTTACCCTGCTCGTGCAATGCGTGCATGTGTGTAGTGTGTAGTGTGTAGTGTGTGTGTGTGTGTGTGTGTGTGTGTGTGTGTTTGTGTTTGCTTGTCCTCTCTGAACCTTGATTTCCTTCTCTGTGCCAAGGGCAGTATAGTGCCTGCTTACACAGGATACACGTAAGGAATATTGGTTGCAGACTGGGAGTAAGCATGGCGATGCAGAAAGTCCATATATTGCTGTGTATCTAGCAGGGCTCAGGCCTGTCACTTCCCTCAATGCAGTGGGAAGGAACAGGAACCTAAGGGATCCAGAGCCCTGAGTCACACAGAGGCAGCCCTGGGCTGTCTACTGGTCTGAACTGACAGTCAATGTGACTAACGTCCCTGTCCTGCCCACAGGCTAATCTTCCACTGCTGCAGCGGGAGCTCCTGCACTGTGCCCGCCTGGCCAAGCAGACGCCTGCCCAGTACCTGGCCCAGCATGAACAACTGCTTCTGGATGCCAGTGCCACCTCCCCGGTCGACTCTTCTGAGCTCCTGCTGGAAGTCAACGAAAACGGCAAGAGGAGAACACCTGACAGGTAACCGCCCTTCACAATTCACAAGGCAGGGAGATGACCCAAGGTGGCCTCTTCCTGTGCATCTGCCTCTGCCACAGCTCTGCCAGACAGCTGGTCTAGTCTGCTGTCTATAGCAGGACTGACCAAATGCTGCTAATACTGCTGCATGCTTCGGGGGCAGGCTAGTGGGCTGGTGACACTGGGTTTTGCGGCATACACTGCCCTGTTTGAGGGATGGACCAAGAGTCTCTGGGATCTCTGGAGGACAGCAGTTCAGGAAGGGGTCTATCCACCAGAACTCATTTTTCTTTGTGCTATTTGTGGACCCTGAGTGACCTGGAGCCTAGGGCCCATGGTGGCTGGGCTAGACTGGACTGGCCACAGAGGTACTGGTTCTACCACTGTACTATGGTGGGGACCACACCTGGCCATGGGACCCTGGGTGTCTCCCTCTCTCCATTCTCCACCAGGAGTTCCAGAGGAGGGAACCACACCCCAGTGGGGCTCCTCTGAGTTTCTGCCCCCACCCTATCTGCTCTCCTCACCTGTTATTACCCTCTGCCCAAGACTGGGGCTGATATCCACTGGCCATCTGTTTTCTCGGTCAGGACCAAAGAGAATGGGTCAGACCGAGACCCTCTGCACCCCGACCACCTCAGTAAGCGGTCCTGCACCCTGAGCCCTGCCCAGCGCTGCAGTCCCAGCAATGGGTTGCCCCACCCTACACCACCCCCGCCCCCACACTATCGCCTCGAGGACATGGCCATGGCCCACCACTTCCGGGACTCCTACCGACACTCTGACCCCCGAGAACTGCGGGAGCGCCATCGGTCCCTTGGTAAGTGGTATGAGAATGCCATCGACCCCTTGAAGTATGGACACAGAGAGTGTGTGAACCCATGTGTCTGCAAGCCTGCCCATGTGTATGAACCTGCATGTGCCTGTGTTAAGAGTTTAAGAGTTTACATGCATTTATTTAGGGGCCCAGTCCGCAGCTGTTTGTACCTATGCTCTAGTGGAAGATACTGAAGCCGTAGTCAGCACCTCATCTGTCCAGTAAGGAAATAGGTGTAAGGAGCCAGTAGCCACACCAGTGCCCTGCTAACCTGACATGCCCCTTCAGAGCCAAGTTGCCCCTTCTCACACACAGAATAGCACTACAACAGAGGGTACTATCTTAGGGACCAGACTTTACCACCCTCCTGGACTGGGCAGCCTAAGGCCAGAGTAGCTGAGGGCAAGGCTAACAGCAGAGCTGCCTGGCTTTCCTTGAATCCAGAAATGGGCTATGTGATGACTGCTCTGTGCCTCAGTTTCTCCCTCTGTCAGAACAGTTGTATAAGGACAGGGGCATTGATAGAGCACCTGGCACACAGTGCACCCCAAGGGCCAGTTGTTGATGACAGGGACAGCAGCTGACACAGAGCATGTGCACTCTGTCATTTCTCAGCCTGTATTCACACCTCCAAGGAAACTGAGGCACAAAGAATACAAGTGGAGCAGCCATGGGTGGTTACAGCAACACCTGCCAAGCCCAGCCAGGCTACACCCCAGTGTGTTGAAAGGGAATGCTAGAAATGACCATCCAGGGTCACTCGGGATACCTATAGGGTCCCAGAACTGGGTCAGCAGAGGCCTCTCCCTACACCCTCACACTGTGGAAGCTTCCAGGGCCTGGGCCTAGGCAGCAGGTGACAGTGTCTGGCTCACCACAGCCGGGTCAGGCAGGTGCTAATTCCCACCCGCTTCTGCTAATGCAAAAATAAACGCCAGCTGTCGCACAGATCTCAGCCTCTATTTTAGTTGGGGCGTTGGCACAGGCCCCTCGTGGGCAACCATAGAGAGTGCTGGATGACGGCTGTGGCCACTCCCTGCCCTTCTGCAGCTCGAGGAAGGCATTTCAGGTTAGGGTGCTAGGAGGTCCTTATGCACTGGTGACAGGTTTAAAGACAGGCTTTGCCCCCAGGAAGCCTGTATTGGCACCAGGTCACCTGCACAGCCTCAGTTACTACATTGGGAGTATTTGACATTGCAGAAAAACCAAGAGAGGTCCATCAAGACCCTCATGCCCCAGCCAGTGGCAACCCACATCCTGCCCCATCCCATTTGACCATCCCCAAGGTCACAGATCCAGCCTGGCCTTATCCCATATACTGCCTCCCCCACTTCCTGCCTGGTAACTATGGACAGACATGACCCCTCAGTTTCCTTATCTGTTATATGGGAAAGATGATGGACGGACCTTCCCTCCCAGTGTCAGAACAGAAAGAAAGGAACGTGTTTAGCATCAAGCCCTGCTTAGGGATATCTCCTCCCCCCCAAACTTACAAGGTCATCTTGGGATCTTTCTAACTATTCACTATGTTAAGAACTAGGCAGGGTCCGGAAACTGAGGTAGAGAGTGGCAAGATAAGGGCCCCAGAATCCCATGGGGAATGAGCCATCCTGGCTTGCTACTTTGTCTGACCCTGCTGCCAGTAGATCTGATCCCAAGATCACACTCAGGGCTGGTAAGCACCCAGGCCAGAATTCAGCCTGGGACCCAAAGGTAAACACAACACACTATCTTTCTTCATGGAGCTGACAGTCTGGGGTTAGAATAAACAGGGAAGTCTTGTACCTAGAGACCAGAGACACACATGGCCTCAGGAATTCCAAAAACTCTACAGCTGTAGAGGGGCCCTGTGGCCTGGACTCTGAGGAATGCATAGGAGTACAGATATTTGAGAGGAAGTCATAAACACATACAAGTTGAGCAGCTGCACAGAGGCCCTGAGGTTTCTGGACCATGATAAGACAGACCCTTAAAGTGGATTTAGAGCTGCCTATCAGAAATAGGCATAGAAAAAGCAAGAGGAGCTGGATTAGAAGGCTAGTAGGAAGGGAATGAATGGTCAAGGAAGAACCAGGGATGACAAGTGTTTTATCCTATTCCTGGTGCCCTCAGGTAGGAATGGTACTTAGGAAGTAGGAGGCACCTGGGAATAGGGGCAGGACCTGAGATCCAAGTTAGAGGTTAGTTATGAGCAAGGGTGGGGCATGGCATCTGCATAGGGCCCTAAATGTGTATTGCCCTTTCTTCAGCCATGACTGGGTCTCGACAAGAAGAAGTGATTGACCATAGGCTCACAGAACGTGAGTGGGCAGAAGAGTGGAAACACCTCAACAGTGTGAGTGTCCAGGTGGGGTTACTGGGCCCCTGTGATTTCCAACTCTGGATCCTAAGGCTGGGGGTAGGGAGCAACACTGAGTCTGGGCTCCTGTGGGTTCAGCATCTCCTGGCAAGGTCTATCTAGTGCCTACTCCTTTATGGGAGCCTGTTCCTTTATGGGAGCATCATTGTCTATAGTTGACCTATCAGGGTGCTGTGAAGAACAGAGACAAGGATGCTGAACAATGCAGACAGGCCCTTCCTCTTCCACTATTTCCTGTTCAAAAACTCTTGCAGAATAGAGCCCCAGTGGTGTAGGACATCTTTAGGGTAGGTGCCTGAGCCCCTGGTCAGGCCAAGTGGACCATGTCTCCATTCATCTAACCATGCACCCTGAAGTATATATCCCTTACCTGCTTCTTTCTTGGAAATGTCCCCAAGGCATATTGCTCTCAGAGTTTCAAAGGAACACCCCCCAAGCCTCTCCCTTGCATCCAAAGAAGTTCCCATTCAAGTTGGGTGCCCATAGGCACTAGGAGCCATTCACTGTTTGTGGGGAGCCAAGGTAGATTTCTGTGCCCTGCCTTCAGGGATGATGAGCTGGCTCCCTGACCACCCCCTCCATGCTGGATGGCCACATCTGGCCACAGCCCCGGTTCCAACGTACTGAAGGCCCTGCCACCCACCTGCAGCTCCTGAACTGCATCATGGATATGGTGGAGAAGACCCGACGATCCCTCACTGTGCTGCGCCGGTGCCAGGAGGCTGACCGTGAAGAACTCAACCACTGGATCCGGTGCTACAGTGACTCTGAGGAAGGGAAGAAGGGCTCCACTCCCACCTCAGCCAGGTCCCTCAACAGCTGCAGTGGCCCTGAGGGGTCTCAGCTAGGTGTGTACCAAGGAAGGACATGGAAGACCTGCAGTGAGGGGTTGCTAGCTTTACACAGTCTCTGTAGATGCAACTAATTCCCCAGAAAGCTAACCAACAGTTATACCTTACTTAAACAGACAGCATCACTTGGAAAAGGGGGCCTTTTTCACTTGCAGAAATATGTCCCAGGTTCTAGTAGGTACAGGCCAAGCTTAGGTGGTGGCACTTAGAGGCTTCTATTTACCCATCCACCACAGGGGTGACCACAGAGACTAGGGGAGGTCTAGGACATGCCCAGTTCCCAGCCTGAATCCATGTCCACAGGCTACAGAGCACACCACCCCAATCTCCCCTTTTCCCTTGTGGCATGTAAAGCCCTCTTTCCCAGGGGAAAAATGTTGGCTTCAAGCCCTGGCCAGAGTGGAAAGGAACCCAATGTGGAACAGGGCAACTAATGCCCAACCTTGTGTATGACACTGTACCTTCATCCTTTTGTTTCAGATCTGCACCGGGATTTCATGCCCAGGACCCTCTCTGGCTATATGCCTGAGGAGATCTGGAGGAAGGCTGGTGAGTAAGGCTATAGGGACAGACCTGGGGACAACCAGACAACCATAAGAAGTGTCTGTGACTCTGATGGACTTCACATGCAGCAAGTTTGTAGATTTATACAAGTTTGGGCTACACACAGGGATGTGCACAAAATGCACAGAGAGAAAGAAACAGAAGGAGAGATACAGAGAGAGGGGGAGAAGAAGGGGAAAGGAGAGAGAATATGAATCAGGTACTTACAGCCAAAGTTCCCATAGTCCCCTTCTGACCCCCATGGATAGGCCCAAGCATAGCCAAGGAGCAGACCTGTTGTCTTCAAGCAGGTCCTTCACAGCAGCAGTTTGCCTGAGCCTATTAGAACAGAATCCTGGGCAACACCAGAACCTGGGGTGAGAACTAGCTTTCACCCTCTGAAGATGCACACCAGAGTGAGGACCATGACCCTGGCAAGTGCAGGTTGTGCTTTGGAAAGTTTACCCATAGCTCTATTCCTCTTGACCAGGGTTTGCACACATGCCCAGGACTCACATATTCGTACTCTGACACTCTTGAGACTGCCAATAAACTTTGCCTTGAATCAGATGGCAGAGCTAGCTACTAGCTGACCAAAATTAGCCATAGAGGTTTTTGGAGGTCCCAGGACATATAGAGAGACACAGGAAGTAGTAGAGAAGCCTTTTGAATTGAGGAAAGAGAAAAGAGGTCACTGGTCGCTTCACCACCACTTCTCTGATCTTCTTTGTTCTTTGATATCTGACTCCCAAGTTTTTATTGATAAGGAATAATTAGATAAACATTTCATCCACAAACCTGTTAGCAAAGGTGTGGGATCATTGACTTGTGCCTTTATGTGCACAGATGCAATGGATGGTAAGCATGTGTGCATACAACTGCATTTAGGCTCCTACACAAGTTGTGAGTGTAGAGGGTCCAGAACCCCAGGTAAGTTAGCCTGGGTGACTGCTGGCCAGTGTGACCACAAGCCCACCTCTGTGCTTCACAGAAGAAGCTGTGAATGAGGTGAAGCGCCAGGCGATGTCAGAACTACAGAAAGCCGTGTCTGATGCAGAGCGCAAAGCCCATGAACTCATCACCACAGAGCGTGCCAAGATGGAACGAGCCCTAGCTGAGGCCAAGCGGCAGGCCTCAGAGGATGCCCTGACTGTCATCAACCAGCAAGAGGACTCCAGTGAGGTAAGGCCCCTGGGTACCTCTATACTCCATGTCTGCCTCCAGACGCACTGTATTCCAAAGGCTGACCAAACCTGGATTAGAACACTACACCTGTGCAACCTCTAGGCCAGTGAGCTCTCTGCTCTCTGTGGTCATGACTGTCACCAGTGGCATAAGCAAGCCTGCAGTCTGTTTAGCACTGTTTGTCAGTAAATGTAGAGATCCATGAAGCCTAGTAAGGCTTTTCCAACCTGCAAGTAGCAGTAATTCAAAGTCCAGTGCGTAATGGCTTGTCTGGGGACCTGGCTCCTGTTGGGGCCCATATTCCATTGAAGCCTGTTGATATCAAACCCTCTCTTCTTTAACATGTGAAGGCAAGAGGTTTAAAGAGACTTCAGGATCCTGGGGTCTCCCTCAGCTTCTGGCAAGCAGGGAGATGCTCAGTGAACAAGAAGGAGAAAGCCATGAGATCTATGACTGAGTGTGTGAATGTCTCAGCACTGTACCCCATTCAACAGGGTGGGTGAAGCAGGACTTTATGAAGACTGTTTCCTCTGCTCCAAGACTTTGGTTGGTAGGATGTCAGGAAGAAAGGAAAAGTCCTTCTGGGAAAGTGATGTATGGGTTTCCCTTTAGGAAGGGACAGGTCTCCAACACTGGAGGGACAAAGCCTGGTAGATCTTGGGCTCACTGGTCTACCATGTTAGCCTAACTGGTAAGTTCTAAGCCAGTGGTTCTCAGCCTTCCTAATGCTGTGACTCTTTAATACAGTTCCTCATGTGATGAACCCCAACCATAATATTATTTTTGTTATTCATAACTGTAATTTTACTACTGTTATGAATCATAATGTAAATATCAGTGTTTTCCAATGGTCTTAGGCAACCCCTGTGAAAGGGTCATTCAACCTCCAAAGGGGTCAAGATACACAAGTTGAGAATCAATGCTCTTAGTCAATGAGAGACCCAATCTTAAAATAATGTCAACAGTATTCAGGAGTGATTCCAGAGATTGCCCTCAAGCTTCTACATGTACATACATACATATGCACCCACACACTCACTTGCTCACGCACACATGCAAACACACACCAGCTCTCAGAGCTCATGAGATGGGCAAAGAGCCAACCACCGGAGTGTTGGATGTTTGGAGGTGAAGAAACTTTGGGAAGTACATCAGTAGATGTGACATCTCAGCAGACCTGGGGGAAAGGGAATAAAGAGTCCTCAGATATCAGAGCCAGCCTGATGAAGAGGCCAGCAAGGCCCTCATGGGTGGAGCAGCATAAGCTGGGGAAGAGCAGGCAGGGGTGAAGCCAGAGACTTTAGAAACTAAATAGAGAAGTAGACTTTGATTGCTGCAGCAGGGGCAGCCTCCCAGTCCCACAGCCCAGACACCTTGCAGGGATCTCCAGCCATCCCCTGAAGGACATACTGCCAGAAAAGGGAATCCTGGTCAATGGCCACCTCTCCTCCCAAAAGGGCCCAGTGAGTGCTTGACAGTTTAGTAGCTTCTTTCCTTTTCCTGGGTAAACCCCTAATCAGGTTTTAGCAGTTGGGAGTGGATGCACAGCTTTCCCCTGCAACACACACACACACACACACACACACACTCTCTCTCTCTCTCTCTCTCTCTCTCTCTCTCTCTCTCTCTCTCTCTCTCTCTCTCAGGTTTTAGCAGTTGGGAGTGGATGCACAGTTTTCCCCTGCAACACACTCTCTCTCTCTCTCTCTCTCTCTCTCTCTCTCTCTCTCTCTCTCTCTCTCTCTCTCTCTCTCTCTCCTCTTCAGCAGTGGCAGGTTATCTGGGCATGTCTGTCTCATTCTGACCATCTCCTTTGCCCTTCTCCATATCCAGAGCTGCTGGAACTGCGGGCGCAAGGCCAGTGAGACTTGTAGTGGCTGTAACGCAGCACGCTACTGTGGGTCCTTTTGTCAGCACAAGGACTGGGAGAAGCACCATCATGTATGCGGCCAGAGTTTGCAGGGCCCCGCAGCTGCAGTGGCTGATCCACTGCCTGGACAGCCTGATGCTACTGCCAGCCCCAGCGAAGCCGGCTCAGCGGGGCCCTCTCGCCCCTGCTCTCCGGGCCCACCAGGCCCACTGGACGCTGCTGTGCCCCGCTGACCTCCAGACCCGACGCCCAGCCCATGGACGCCATGCCCTGCCAATCTCCTGGCCCCACCTTGGCCTACTAGATGCCTGGAGCTAGCCAGGTGGAGTCACTGCTGCTACTGCTTCTCTCCAAAAGAAAACACAGATCCAACGAAACTGCATCAATGCAGCCTCAGCTACCTGACAAGGTCTTGCCAGGACCTCCTACAGCCTCTCTGTCTTCACAAGCATCCTCAGATCACTGCGGAGCTGCAGGCAGTGGCGTTGGCAGAGTATGGCCAGCCCTGCCACTGCTTGTCCCCTCTGTGTCTGTCTCTCTGTTACTGTCTATCTTTCTGTGTCTGCCTCTGTGTGTTTCTTGATGTCTTGGTCTCCCTCTGTTTCCCAGCCCTGATTCTCCCTGTGTCTCTGATCCTGTCTTTGTCTCTGAAGCCCACATGCTTTCTCTGTAATCAGAGAAACCTAATTGGTGGCTTTTATTTTCAGTGAAGAACTTTTGGAGATTTTGTTTTGTTTTGTTGGCAAACAAGCTACTTAGAAATGGACAAAGAACTGTGGGGTTCTCCCCATTCCTTATTAGAAAGGGAAGAAACTGTGATTTTCTATCCAGAGCTGCTGCCTCACCCAGCCAACCCAAGGGGGATCAGCACATGCAGCAGAGATGGTCAGAACAACTTCAATTTCCAACTCAAGAAGCATTTTTTTGTTTCAGGTTTTATTTTATTTCTCTTTTTTATGTCAAAGTCTTTGGCTTTAAGTGAAAAAAATCCAAAAAGGTTTTTTTTTGTTGTTGTTGTTTTGTTTTTAAGCAAAGGAAACATACCTGTAAACTACCTTGCCAGCTAGCCAGCCAAGGATGCCAGACACACCTCTCTCCAAAGGAAATCCAAAAAGCAAACTCAAGAAATCAAAATCCAAAATTTATTTTTATCACTGCCAAAGTATTTTTTCATGGTCTTTCCATTCCTAGGTTTGTTTAGATGTTGGTCTATTATTTTTGTTTTGATTTTTTCTCAGAGGGTGTTAGGTCACTGGGATTTGGTGGGTTGGGCCAAGAAGAAACCTTTTGTTCCTTTTTGACTAGTGGGCAGCATCCTTGCTGGGTAAAGGGGTCAGCAGCAAGGCCACATGACCCTCAGCACCATGTCCAGAAGCCCCAGGCACCATGAGCCTGAGTGTTGTGTGCCCTAGGGTCATGTCTACGTGTCCCTGTATGCAAGGAAGACACCTCCACCTGTCCTCACACCTTCTGTGACTCCTCATAATTCATTTTCCACCTGTGGAAAAAAAGTGCTAAAGTGTTCTTCCCAGAGAGAGCACAATTCCTAAATGAAACTGTGACAATCTTTTGGGTTGATTCTTGACTGCTTTTGAAAGCATAAGGAGACAGCAAATCACGCTTTCTTGGTTTTCCCTCCTCTACCTCTCTGCTCTCCCATTCCCACGCACCTCCATCGAAGCCCTATCTCCTATCTCCCCATCCCCAGTGTCTTGCTGTGGCTACCATCATTTCTTTCGAACTTTTACAGGAAAAAAAAAAAGGAAAAAAAAAACAAAACAAAACACAAAAGCCAGCAGCCACTCTCACCTCACCTGGAAGACTCAAGCCCAGCTGTACATATCCCTGTGTTGCAACCCTAATGTTCGTCTCCAGCCCTGGGAGTGATGGTGATGCTTGCCCACCCACTCCAGCCCTTGCCCACCTTGCCCTTCACCCGCTCAACTCCCTCAAGGATTCAAGGAGGAAATGAAGGAAGGAGGCTCATGCCTGTACCAAACAGAAAGACAGCAGACACAGTCCGGGTCTGCACCTATGTGTGTGGCTGCAGTAAGCTGCAGGCCTAGCGTGCAATATGGGGGAATTACTCCTGATCCCTGGGCCCAAGGGGGCCCTGCCCAGAGCAAGGTGTGCAGCGTGTGTTAATGTGAATGTAAATAGTCTCCACAGAGGTCCCAACCACGGCATCAGTACCGAGGAGATGTTTGCCAAATAAAAAGAAATTAAGACAAACCACAGAAGTATGTGAAATTTAGGAAACACTTTGGAAGGAATCTGAGCTGTGGTCCTATGGGCTTGTTTGGTGGCTGGTATTTCTTCACAACTGTAAAATTCATTCTTTAAGAGAACATTATATGGAAGGATCCTGTTAGGCACCATCAACTTGGTGCTACCCTGAATGGAGCCTGACAGCAACCCTCTCTGAAGGCCAAGGTAGATCTCATCCTCTGGAAGGTTCTTGAGGTCACAGCCCTCCAAGTCCACAGAGATGTATTTTTGTGGGTTTCAGAGAAGCCAGGACACATGGCGGCCTCCTGCCTTTCCTTCTAGTGGACCAGTTGCCCTGAGCGTCTGCCTGCGAACATTGTCTGTGCTGGTAGAGACCCGCCTCCTGTCACAGGAAGCATCACTGGATTCCATTCCCAGATGCACCTCATGCAATGCTTCTTGTCTGTTACCCACAACATGCAGCATCATTGGCCCTTCCAGGAGACCAGGCCAGTGGCCATTCATAGGAAAGAGCTCTGGGTGGCAGTAGGTGGTGAGCACCATGTTTGTGTGGGAAAATAAAGCTAGGCCTTCAGGTTGTACTTAAGAGCTGTATAGTCTCTAGCAGTCTGGGCCAGGAGTCCTGAGGTGGCTTCCCTGATGACCCATGTCCCTGGTGTCAGGACTTGAGAGGGCCTGCACATATGTGGTCCAGCCATTCTGAGGTAGGTCATAGAGGGTCCCTTACCGGAAAGCCCACCAATTTGCTTTAGCTTCCCATACCTCCTTCCCTACCACCCTTATCTACCTTTTAGGAATAAGAAGACCCACCAGGGACAACAAAATGCTGCCCAGCCAAATTAGCCTCCATGAACCAGGTCACATATTTAGGGTTCAGCAGAGACTCCTACCTACATCCTAGCTGTCAGATGCCATTTGATCACAGTGAGTCCCTTGTGTGTAAGATTTGGCCAGCAGCTGTAGACACCCAGGATGAAGGGCCAGCCAGCTGATAGGAAGAGCTCAGCAGTCAAGGCAACTGCAGAATCAGGGTGGCAGTAAGGTGGGGGTGGGGAGGGCTAAGTGAGGAAAAGCTGGAAACGGCAGGAGGGAATCCCAGGCATACTGCTAAATTCTGGCTGGATGTCAGCAGTGTCACCTGAGGCAAGGGGGGTGGGGTCCTGAATCAGGTGCAGAGAGGCCCTGGAAAAGCTGTGGGTGCTGTGGTCAGGCTTCAGCCACCAAAAGCAGAACCAAACAACCTCAAAGCTTTGAAAAGAGCAGGGTCCATGGGAATAATTTGTTGGGAGGTACACCCTGGGTGGCCATAACCATGGCATGCTCCTTGGTTTCAGCCTGCAGTCTGCTTGGGGCTCTACAGAGAGCTGGAGGAGGGTGATACCCCAACCCTGACTCCTGCTGAGAGCCCCTCCTGCTACCTTCTCCAGTTCACAAACCATGGACCCAAGAACAACTGCCAGGTCCTGCCTCCTGGTAGCCACAGACAAACATGAACCAAACCCCTACAGGATATGGCTTTCACAGAGTCTTGCTCCCCAAAAACCCAAACAAAATGCAACTTTATTTCCTGTTCTGAGGCCAAAGCTAAACCAGGAAGGCTGAGTACGGAGGGCAGGTGGCAGACAGGACTCTCCAACCCCCAAGGCCCAGCCTAGATCCTGTGTCATGACCGTATGACTTGTCATATGTCCTGCCTCTCCCACCCTTCCTCTTATCTCCTTGCCCATTCCTGCCCCAAACTCAGACTGGCCTCTCTCCAGTCTGCTGCCTAAGGGCTGCCTAAGAGGATTCTTTCCAGCTCAGTCCCAAGACCTGCACAGGAACAGAGGCCATTGGCTCTCCTCCCACATATGGGAGGTGTATAGGAGGAGCAGGCTGGATTATACCACAGCTTAGGTCCTGTTGCCTGATGGGTGCCAGCCCCCAGAAGGAATCAGTCAACAGGGACATCTGTCAGAAGACCTGAGAAGGTCATTGATGATGGAGGGCAGAATAGGAAGCAGGGCCATGGGCAGTGCTATCTCAAAGCCACAGTGGACAGAGAGCAGGATGGCCCCCAAAGTTCTCTTTTTAGTTTTTCCAAATAAATCATTAGGCTGACACCAAAGTATCATCTCTGGCATCTGTCCATTACTGTGTTCTTCAGCCTAACCACAATGATAGATTGACACTTTCCTGAGTCCACCTTTCTGACTTACCCAGCCATCTTCCCATGAACCCATACGCCTCTACCCATTCATCTTTCTCCACCTACCCTTCCATCTAACTTCCCCATTATCTACCTTCACCCACCTGTTCTCCATCTATCATCATCCATCTGCTCATCTCTCTGTCCACACCATCTAAACTGTCTACCCCACCATCCCAACATACCATCCTTGTGTCTGTCTGTCTTCCAGTCCCACCCACACAGCCATCCACAGATCCATCTTTTCTGTCATCTCCCTACCCACTATACTCAGAGTAGTATCAGCATCCTCTGTGTACCAAAGACACTAGGTCCTCCCCTGCACTCTACTCTGCTTGCCCTGAACTGGCCAGGGGTGCCCTAAGAATATTCACCCATGAGGCAACAGCTCTCAGTGCTCTGCCCCACCACGGCCTGCTTTAGACACCTCCAGAAGTATGAGTTCCAACCGCAGGCATTGTGAACAGCTTGGGCAAGTTCTTATGGCAGCTGTGACACATCTGGACGTTCTTGGGAAGAGAAGGTACCAAGAATGTATGCTGGGAGAAGGTCTATACAGCTCTGGAATGCTGTGTTAGGCAACTGTATTCCCTGAAAGTAGAGGCAGTCCTTGACTCCAGGAGTCTGCCGAGAAGAGGGAATCTCTGAAGAAAAGAGCAAGCCAATGCTGACCTCCCTTGAGACAACAGTACTCTTAGGGCCTTGTTCCTCGGGACACTTAGGTATAATTCCCATCTTGTAAGGATCCCGTGTAGCTCAGAGTCGAACCTGTCTAGTCTTCCCTTACTGGATCCATTGATGGTAAGGGGAATTTGCCAGGTATTTGGGACTATCCACAGGCTCCCCTGATAACTCATTGCTCTTCCTGAAGCTCCTACCATGTAGAGAAGTTTCTGAAATGAGCCTGGGGAGAGATCCCTGAGTTACCATCATGTTGGCAAGAGGAAGAGAAGATAGAGAAACTGGAGGTGAGCGGGTTCAGGGGAACCATCTACTCACTCCTGTAGGTGGCTTACAGACAAAGCTCAGGAAAGTTTGTCAACAATGTGCATAAGTCCCCAAATTCTAGAATACTCTATCTTGTTTTCTGTTCCTTTCCTTTCAGTTCAGCTGGCCCTTAGAGTAGCAACCCAGACTGGGGAACGGGAATGCGGCATCTGACTCAAAAGTGCAGCCTACTCAACATATCCTCAAAGGAACAGGCCTGGCTCCCATCCAGACAAGGCCCAGCAGCCCTCAGCTCACACCATAACTGGGAGGAGCCAAGGGTCAGGCCAAGCACAGCCACACACAGCCTGCCCGGGAACCATTGCTTTTCCATTTCTTTTCCTCCTGCAGGAGTTGGGAGGAGAGTACTGGATGTTTTCTTCATGAAAAGCTGTGGTCCACAGCCCTCCATGTCTGGGTGCTGTGTCATACCACCCACTGCTATCTTCTGCTGTCCTGTATGTCTGCCCTGTGGGCCATGGACACGATGATCAGGTTAATCACATCTGTGTAATAAAGTGAACGTTTGCTATGATGGCTTGCTGCTCCTCCAGACCATTGCGTACACACGATCACCATGTTGAAAGACCACGGTGGATGTGATGTTCAGTTGTACCAGTTGGGGTGGACAAAGGAGGGGAACTTCTGCCCTGTGTGCTGCTGCTACATCCTTGGTAAATGGGGTCCATCTTGGAAGGCTGGACCTTAGGGAGTTCTGGAAAATCCTGGACCCCAACCTGACCTATAGCTGACTGGCTCATTGTTGGGGCCAATTTCTTTGAGCTATCCACGTGAGGAAGACAGTGGGACCTGGCTAAGGGAAACACTAAAGGTTTGAGGGGCACTGAGGACCTGAGGGGGACACTGGATCTGAGGAAACACTAAAGAGATACTTAAGACCTGAGGGGAAACTCAGGACCTGAGAGGACACTGAGGGAATTCTGAAGGGCGTCCTGAGCGGAAGCTCAAGTCTAAAGGGGACACTGGCCCTGAGAAAACACTGAAAGGGGACATAAAACCTGAGAGAACACTGAGGACCTACGAGTGGCACAGCAGAAAAGAGCTATCTCTGTGCTCCCGCCACAGCTGTGTCCTGGCTAAAGGGACTCCCTCTAGAAGCAGATACTGACCATAGTGCTTCAGGCTGCTCTGGTGGCTGCCTAGAGGAAGCGACTGTCCTAACATGGAACACCATGTATTTTTGAAGGCACTGTTGGGAAGGCCAGCATGGGGGTAAGCTGTCCCTAGGCCAGGCGCCTGGCTGGAGCCCCACTGGGCCTGGTGTGTCAGCGATCTCAGGATAGCACAAGGGGGAGGAGAGTGACAAGGTTTTTCCACTGCAGACACTGAGCTCAGAGGAGAGACTGGCCAGGGACTGGGCTCCATCCAGATGGTCTTGGCTTGGACACAGCCTGCCATGTCCTATCTCCCACATGAAAGGCCCAGACAGGACCCCAACAGAGCTTCACACAAAGAGGAGGAGAACGTGTAGGAAGACAACAGTGGCCACTTGTCTATCCCTGTCCAGCTCATCCTGTATGGCCAGCTTGTTCTCTGTGTAGACATGGATGCTGCCTCCAAGTAGCCCTGGCCTGCCAGGAAAGACCTAGGGAAGAAACTGAAGCAGGACTGGGGAGAGGCCAGTAGCCACTCAGTCTCTGGTCAGGACTACTTTATCTCAGGTCATGTGACTATCCTACACAGTCCTTCCTTTATGAGGCATGGAGGTTATGGCAGTTTTTATTATTGTTGTTTATGACAGGGCCTCACTCTGGAGCCCAAGATGGCCTTGCACTTGTGATCTTCCTGCCCCAGAGGCCCAAGTTCTGAGAATAAGTATGAGCCATCGCATGAGGCTCAGCAGAATAGCTTCAAGGAGCATCCGTGCCTATGTCTAGCTAAAAGCCGGCAATATGTAGTAGATATGCCCCTCTGCTGGAAGCCCCAAGAAGGAATCAATGGATGCAGGCTGGCAACAGTCTGGTAGGGTGAGGGCAGAGAGGCAACAACAGATGAGCAGGGCTGGGAATCACTGGACCTGCCTGCATCTGCCAAGTGCCCACCACCCAATTTGTACAGTTCAGCCTTAGCCTCCCTTATGGCAAAAGGGAGTATCTAAATAGTGTCTGAGTGCAATAGGCTCCCTTCTAAAGGTGTCCTGCATAAAGGTGGGGAGGGAAAAGTCTTTGAGGAACTCATGGTTAGAGAAGAATATGGAACCCTACTCTGGATGAGCCCAGGCCTGAGCTCTTTGCCCTCCAGGAGCCCTTGCTCAAACTGACCCAATGTATCCAGATACCCACAGTGCTATCTCTCCCTGAAATCAGTCCTTTTCGTGATTATAATTAGGTAACTTGACCCAGATCTGATTAATTATGCCTATTGTCAGAAGTGTGGTTATGGCATGCTGCACACACCAAGGGAGAATGAACCAAGCTCATGTAAATACCATCCTGCCCTACCCTGTTTGGACCCATCTATACTTTTGAGGGTTTTTTTTTGGGGGGGGGGTTGAGACAAGGATTCTTTGTGTAGTCTTGGCTGTCCTGGAACTAGCTCTGTAGCCCAGGCTGGCCTCAAACTCATAGAGATCTGCCTGTCTCTGCCTCCTGAGTGCTGGGATTAAAGGTGTGTGCCACCACCACCCAGCCTCTTCCCAGTTTTGGGAGTGCAGCTAGTGAGGAAGACAGAGGAGATCTACAACCTTTGGCCCTCTGGTCAACAACTTAGCCCAATCTGGGAGCCTTCCTATGTCCTTTAGTGGAAGCAGCTGGTCAGGGTGAGGACTTAAAAGGGAGGGCCCCAAGGCAGCTGCAGCTGCAGAGGTGAGCAGACCTGAAGAGCCAAGGTTCTCCCAGGGTTACCCAGGTTTGCCCAGCCCACCCTTTTTGCATATCCATGTGGCCCTTCCTGAGCAATGATCTCTTCCCACCCCCTACTGAAGCCTGGCTCCAGAAAGTCTCCTCAGATCCTGAAGCCCAAGGTTGGGGGGCCTGGGGAAAGACTGAAAAGACAGCTTTGGGGCCAGAGTCTGGGACAGGAACAGAGAGTGAGGAGGAAGTTGATAAAGATGAGGAAGATGCAGGCTTCCTGCTGTCCATGCTGGAGGAAGAAACCCTGGCCAAGTCTCCAGTATACAACCAGGTAGCACCCTGTCATGGTCCATAGAGGCAGGTGTGAACCTGGGCATGGGGTGAAGGGAACAGCTGACTAGGAGGTGGAAAGGCCAATGCTCCTATGTGTGATGAAGCCAATGCTGCACACCACAGGGACCTCTCTGATTAGGGGGGAGGAGTCCTGGGGTGGAGGCATCAGGGGCTTCTGGGGCCTGAGCCCCTAATCCTGGACTATGGCTACAGGAAGAACAGGGTGACCTAGGTCATTCCTTAGTAGCCATGACTCTTCTGGGGCTGGCTGGCCACATCTGCCCTCCATCCTAGAGGGGCTTGCAGGTCACCTCCCCCAAGCTTACTGTGGGATGGCCAGCAGGAGTTGGAGGCCATCAAGCTGAAGCTGTGGGCCATGGAGCATGCTGAGGCCCTGCCGGAGCCACCCTATGTACAGAGAAAGGCCACAGAGGAAGAGGGGGCTGAGGTCAGACAGCTGCTGAGCCCTGAGATCATGGGTAGGAACCTGGGGCCCTTGCTGCCCCTGTCCCCAAATGGGTGTACAATTGTCCTCCCAAGTCCTTGACTGCTCAGCTAAGACTCTAAACCCCACCTGCTCTTAATGGAGAAGTACTCAGCATGGACTCTTTGTGAGGACTATTAAGGAGGCATTCTGGCTCACCCCACAGCATCAGGCCTTGCTAACCCACAATGTGACCTTGGGAGCCTGGGGTGACCTTCCCTGAGATCATGAGGAATGGGATCCTCAATGAGGTCCTCCTGCTGGTCCTGAGGTTCTCTCTCTACAGGCTGCTTCTTCCCTGGGACCCCCAAGGAGAAGGTGGAGGCTGACCACAGATCTGTCTATGTAGGCAATGTGAGTAGCAGATAGGGAGTGCCTGGCCCCAATTAGGGCATTCAGCTGGGTGGACACATCAACATTAGCCCTGGCTGGGGCTGGCTAGGAGCTTAAGGCAGGAAGCTGTGGGGTTGTAAACTCAAGTATCTCCCAAGGCCAGAGAGAAGGGGCAGGTCTGATGCTAGTTGCAGCAGAGGAAAGGGTGGGATGTAGCTCCTGGGCAAAACCCATTGAGGCCAGTAGAGCTGAGGTCAAGAATTCTGGTTTCTCAACATGTGCTGCTAAAATTGGGAGTTCCATGAGATTTATTGGTCACACACCTGATATGAGACAATACCTGGGACACAACCAGTTGTCTACATAGGAAGCCCCTTGTCTGGCTCTCAGCAATCAACCCAGGGAAGGAGTGGGTAAAGCCTCAGCCCATTCCAAGCCAGGAGCCAACCAACGTTGGGGGTTGGGTCCCTCTAACCCTAATGCCACAACCACCTCAGCCCTGCCCTTTCTGAGAGCAGGTGGATTATGGAGGCTCTGCTGCTGAGCTGGAGGCCTACTTCAGCCCCTGCGGGGACATTCACCGGGTCACCATCCTGTGTGACAAGTTCTCTGGACACCCAAAAGGGTCAGTGTGGAGCTACAGCAGGCTGGTCAGTGAGGGTGGGGCTGGCCCCTCACTTACTGTCCCATCATCCCATCTCTATCCTCCCCCAGCTATGCCTACATAGAGTTTGCTTCCCAGAGCTCTGTCCAGGCTGCTGTGGAGCTGGATGAGAGCACCTTCCGAGGTCGGGTCATCAAGGTATGTTTTTCCAGGTGTCTCCATGCCCCTGTGAACCACCCTGAGCCATGCTTGCACATTAACTCACAAATTCTTCAACAGGCTCAGAGAGGTGAGAGTATTTGCCCCAGGACACATAACTACCCAGCCTAACCTCCTGGGTATCTTAGTTGGGTGGGCACTGGTCAGAGTTAGGGCATGATGGAAACCCTCAGACTCAGGGTGGGACTTGGTGTGGTGTGGCTTGGGGAGATGAGCCATCCACTGCTGGAGGATGCTGTCCATGACCAGGCATGCCATGTGATCACAGCTGCATCCAAGTGAAAGTGGGTGGATACTTTCTGCCTAAACGGTACCTCCAGGTCAGGAACCCCAAGCCTTGGTCTCAACCTGGACTCTGGCTCTAGGCCACCATGGCAAGAAGTGTACAGAACTGTGTCTTGGACCATGGCATGGGTTCCTTCTGTCCAGGTACTTCCTAAAAGGACGAACTTCCCAGGAATCAGTTCCACAGATCGTGGTGGGCTGCAGACACACCTGGGCAGCAGGGCCCAGCCCTTCCTTCATCGAAGACCTCGGTTCAGACACTATGGACAGAGCCGGTAAGTGGGCCCGAGTGGGGTCTGAGTCTGTAGATCTGAGTGGTAACAGTTTCTGGAGCCTGATCCTGATGCCGGCTATAGCCAATCTGCCCAGCATTATGCTGAGAAGACTATTGTCCCCTCACCTGAGCCTGAACTGGCCAGGGCACTTGGGAAGGGGCTGAATCAGAGCTCATGGTTTCTATCAGCCTAGACAGGCCCTATACAACCTCCCTATCTGGTGGGGATACTCCTTCCTAGCCACTAAGACTCTGCAAGTGACATGCATCCCTGCTATGGAGGGCAGGACTCACAGCAGGCTCCTCTGGCCTGAAATACAGGTGAAGCTAGAGCTGAGCCCATGGCCCACATGGGGCAAATTTTAGCCCCAGGGCTCCCTCCTCCCCTGGAGGCACCCCTCAAGAGAGCAGGAAGCCTGAACAGGTGCCTCCCACAGTTCCCCAATAGCTTGGTGTGACATTAACCCTCACCCAGGTGTCCTCCGGGCCTGTCCCCTCTGAAGACAACTTAGCTGCCTTTGTCTCCCCTCCCTCTCTGCAGGGGCCGTGGCCGGGTCTCATCCTGGTTCTCACCATATTGAAAGACGGCCCAGTTTTTAAAGTGGTCCCAGGAGCTGGGTCAGGAGTAAGCAACAGTCTTCCCACCTACTCCAAGCTGGTCTTCAAGCCTGGCAGCCCACAAGGGCCTTTGAAGATGGCCTAAGACTCCCAGGTCATAATAGGAAGGCACAGGGCAGGGAGATGCAGCGGGCAGGAGTGGGAGGGGAAACCCAGAAGCTGGGACTGGTGTACTCAAGTACTTTTAAAGAAGAATAGACATGTGTGTTAATGGTAAAGCATAAATTATTAAACTTGAATATTTTAAAAGCATGTAGGAAGCTTCACTTCTTGATCCTCCCTCAGACAGAGGTTTACATTGCACCTTTCTCCATGGTGCTCCAGAGGGGGTAGTAATGGGGTATGACCATGAGTCCAGAAAACAGGCCTCTTGCTCTGGCTCTGCCTTATGATTCAACAGAGTGAGCAGAATCCCACCCCCTAATTCTGCCTCCACGCCCCAAGTTAGCTCTCTAGACATACCTGGACTTCACCCCCATCCTGCCCTAGAAGCAGAGGTGGCGCCTTTAAACTCTGTGTGTGTGCGCGTGTGTGTGTGCGTGCGTGTGTGTGAGAGTGTGTGTGTGTGTGTCTAGCAAAGACAGGCTGCCCTGCGCTGCCACTCAGCAGGAATAGAGCTAGCTGCTCAGGCCCAGTTTGCCCAGTGCAAACACTGTGTGCACTCACCACCATTCCTTTCCTGTGCTCACTTCATTAATTCTTTAAGCCCCAACAGGGCTGCCAAGTAAACCACCCCCAGCACCAGGAGACTGCTCTGGGGACAGGCTGTTGCCCTTCTCTGGACTCCCATCAATATTTGACCTTCCCAAGCCACATTCACATGCCTCTTGTCCTTAGTGAAGTGAATAATGCCACCCAAAATGTGACCACATCTTCACCTCCGAAGTCTGAAGGCAGCCTGTGACCTTATTTGAAAAAGGGTCTCTGAAGACATAACAAGGATTAACTCCAGAACCAGGCATACTGGTAGGAAGAGGCAGGCAGATTTCTGAGCTCAAGGTCAGCCTGATCTACATCGTGAATTCCAGGACAACCAGAGCTACACAGTATGGCCCCATCTCAAAAAAAAAAAAAAAAATCAGAGCATCTCTGACCATGGACCACAAACCCAACCATGGGCGAGGCATAAGTCAAAGATATGATGGCAAAGAAGAAAGGTAATGCCTGAGACAAGATTCGCAATGAGGCTTGAAAGTCAAAGGTCTGAGTTGCTGCTGCTCCAGGAGCTGGCTAAGGCCTGAAGGAGATTCTCTCTGGGCCTGCAGGAAGCAGCCTTGCCTCCAGCCACTGTCTGTGGCAGCTTTAGGGTAACCCCATGAGCCTGAGCAGCCTTATTCACCTCTGGAAGTGACTGGTTCTGTCCTGACCAGCCAGGGGTGAATGCTACCTGGTTGGCAAATGGTGAGCAGCAAATCTGCCCTAGGGTGGCCTTGGGGGACTCCCTAATATCAGGGACCTGACAGAGCTTCGCCAAGGGTAAAGCCAGCTCCTCATCACATTCCAGCCTCAGGATGGCCAAGTCTCTTGGCAGGATATTTGCTCCTGCTTTCCCTGAACCTTAGGCATCTCCTACCAAGGAGATGGCTTTGGTCTTGACATGTTGCTGTCACCTCAGCTCAGTGGCTTCTGGTCCTCTTCTGATATATATATAGTGAGTTCTCTTCTTCAGAGGGGCCTAGGGGAGCTTCCTTTCTGAGGGACTCAGGTCTGTCTGGACAGGACACTGAGGTACAAACACCTTTCAGCACGGCATCTACCCCACTAGTACTGCAGGCCCCTGCGGTGTGCATGGCCAATGTCAGCCCACAGCTTCGTCTCCCAGTGTAGGCTGCCCTAGCCTCAGGTTTGCAGAATGACAGTACCCGAAGGTACTAAAAAAGAGACGAGCAGCTGATGGCCCCACATACTACCTGCAGTAAGTCACTAGCTAACCAGAGCTGTTGTCTTGGTCCCAGGGTGGAAAGCCTGCTTCATAAAAGGTGGTGACTATGGTCTTCAAAGCCAGCCTCAGGATGAAACTCACCTGCAAGTCTGATGGCCACATCAAGGCAAGCAGATGATACTTTGTTTGCCAGAGCTTGATAGTAAGAAGATTCCCTAGAGCATACACATAGTGCACACACACACAGCACACTTACAATCTGACTATACCTATCAGAAAACCCAAACAACAACAGCTTAAACAGAGAGAGGTATATTTTATTCTCACATATGAAAAGCTGACGTGAACAGTCCAGGGCCAGCCCATCAGCGCAGATTCTGTTCTTCATATCTGCATGTCCTCATCTGGTCTTCATGCTCTCAAGAGGGATGCCTAAACTCCCACAATTACACTCAAGTTCCAGGCAGGAAGAAAGCAGAAAATCTTGAGTAATCTGAACATCAGCTGAGCCAACTTTTAAAGGGTTTGACCTACAGGTCTCTCCCAATACCACCCTTTACATGCCTTACCCACCTGCCCTGATACGAAGGGGAGGGAAACAAATAGCATTTAGCCCAGTTTCTCCAGTAAGGCTGCCTGTAAGGAGGGAAGGGAGGAGTACTGAGGAACAAGAAGCAGGCCCCAGTGCTAATGGTGACCTCCCTTAAATACTCAAGATCTCAAGATTCCACCTCACTGGTATGCCTTCCTTCTCTTGCCAAACCCAACCTCCAACTAAAACCTTTAACCCAAGCACATCTGGGTTCAGTCAGCTGCTTGATGAATGTCTCAATCCAACTTCATCTGCCACTTACATTGATGGGTTGTAAAATCTGGTTTCTTTTCTTACTGCATTTTTCAATGACCCTGTGCTCACTGGGCTGTCTCTTCTTCTACCCACTTGAACAAGTCACAGCCTGCTGGGCACAGGCAGAAGAAACTCTACAGGGAAGGGGGAGGTCCTTGGCTGATGACTTGGAGAAGTCAGAGACTCTGAAGACAGTATGAAGCAGCAACTTCTGAAGGGGACTCAGACCTGGGGCGGGTCCTCTAGGCCTCTGTCATCTCCCAGGACACCACACTTTAGCCACACTGTCCAGTGACGCAAAGGAGCCAGCGTCAGTTACCACCTCCACCCAGCCAGGGACTTTTATCTGGGGAGAGCCTGGTTTGTCCTTGGGGATGTGGGGCATTGAGGACCCTGTTGACCTCCATGCTCACTGACAGTGGGAAAGGCTCCTGGAGTTTCTCATTTTGCACATGGGAAACAACAGCTGCTTTAATGCTACGTTTCATGAAGTGTTACAGATTTGAACACCACCTGAGGCTGGGGTTAGGTGCAAGTGCTGGGCCAAATGGATGGTGGGTCCAGAACACTGAGGGCCCTTACCCAAGAAGAAACATATGTGGCCCTTCACCTTGGGTTGCCTTCACCCTCTGGAGCTGGCTCTGGGCTCCCTATACCCTGCACCCTTCTGGACCACCCACCTACTCAAATAATAGAGACCCTTAGCCTCCTGTACTCAAGTATTCTTCCTCACACCACCAGGCTATGGTCACAGCTCCTACATGGTTCCACAGTCTCTGAGACCAACTAGCAGCTGAGCCCTCTCTGCTGACACAGGACAAAGCAGATCTCATCATGTGAGCCCTTTAGTAGAAAGGCACAAGGCACACACACAGCCCTGCCCACGGTTTTACATTTAGGGAGAAGAAAGGGAATAAATAATCATCAAACGGGGATTAATACAGGCTTCTCTTCCAGGTGACTGGGGGAGAGGTCCGGCTCAGCAGACCTGGATCATCATCGAAGTTACCATGTTATCAAAGGCCCTGAGAAAAGAACCCAGATTTAGAGCAGAAAAGGCTATGACCCTGCCCTCTGCTGGTAGAGACTGGCACTGCCTCACCAGGTCCTCAGGACTCTAGGGCTTCTCTAGGGTTCAGGGAAGCAGAGGGCATACCCACCATACTGGGCAGAGACACCCATCTCCTGACTCCACAATCCTGCACAGTCCCCACAGGCCTACTATGTCATAGATTTCCTCAGCATACCTCTCTGAGGGTGCAGGCAGGGGTAAGCAATGAACCCCATGAGCAGGTAGCGCTAGCTTTGCCCTGCACAGCTTAGGAACACAGTGTGCTCTCTCCTAGGATCTAGATGGATGCAAGACTTGTGATATCTCAGCCAAAGGAAGGTGCCACCAGAAAGGTCTAGCTTGGGCCACATGTCAATTTCAAGAAGCTCCTTAGGAGCAGTCCCAGAAAAAGAATCTGGAAGCAAGTTTGTGAAGTCCATGCCTCCTGATGAAGCACCTATATGAGGTCTATACAGCTGGAGGGGAGACACCTAAGCCCCACACAAAAGGCACACCAGGCTACAGCACATTGCCCCCATAAAATCTATGGTCACAGCATAAGCTGTGAGCTTGTTGAGCTCTCTGGAGGTCCTCGGAGACCAGATGGGTAAACCTTGGCCCAATCTGTCTGTATGCACTTAAGGTCTGTGTCAGCACTAATTTAGAAAAACTGGGCTGGTTGCTTTGAAATAGTGGCCTTAGAACAGTACTCATGACTCCTTTACTTTCCCAATGGCCATCTATCACAGAGCAGGTCCCACCTTGACACAAACACACAGGGCCCACCTTGACTGGATGCGGTCTCCCGGATTGTAGAAAGGGTTGCACATCACATCTGTGTAGGAGTTATGAAGCTTCCGGAACATCTGAAAGAACAGAAAACAGTTTAAATGCGTGCATGCACGGGGCTGCTGTAGACTTTTGCACCCTCGGTGAGGAAAAGGAAGCAGCAGACACCAACCTTAACCCCCTGCACTTACACTTCGGATCTCATTGTCTCGAAGGGCTGTATTGGAGGAATCCACCACCATGACAAATTTCACCTTGGAATTGGTCACATAGCCATATCTGCACGGCTGATTAAGGAACATGCTTTGGCACAGGGGCTGTATGACTGCATATGGCACACACAACATCACAATCAAGAGTCTACAAGCCTGGAAAACTTTGTGAACCCTCACTTCAGAGAAGCCTGACAACCTTGAATCATAGGAAGTGCCCAGGCTAGGGAGGCTATGCAGCAACTATGCAGGTGTGCACCTGAACTAGGAACAGTTCCACCTCCTTTTGAACTGACACAGGGCCTGGGACATTAGTTGCAAAACCAAACTTTTGCCATCAGTGTTAATGCCAATGTCACCGTAGAGAACCTACAATTAGTCCTCATGGAGATGTTCTTAGATTCTGTGGTCTTAACAGTTTGTCCTAAGGAATGTCCAAGAGTTTACAGTGCCACAAGAGGCTGAGCCTAACAACAGTATCATGAAACAATTACCCTCGATTCAAAGCTGGTGGCCTCTTACGAGCCAGAGAAGCCCAGATCCCTACTACGTCAATTTGCACCCTCCTGGAAGCTCAGCCTTGCTTTTCCAGTGATGTGTCTAATTAAATGGGGGGAAGGGGGTTGTTTAGAGGCCTTTGTTAGCTTCAGGTCACCTGCCTACCTTACCAGCTGAAACCCCTTACAATTTTTCTTTTCTTGTATTTCCTCCCATATCCCATTCTGTAAGTGCAGGAATAGTGCTGAGCATGGATGGATACACCTTGTAGTCCTCAGTTGGGTAGAGCAGGCCCAGGTACAGCTCCCTCTGGTCCACCAGTGCTTTTCCCATGGCAGAGATCTTCTCATCTACCACATCCAGGGATGTGTGCACCATGTAGTGGAACTTGAGCTCATTCTCTGTGGGAGTGCTCCGGATGTACAGAGGGTAATTCTGCAAGAAGGGATGATGATACACCCAGTGAGTTCCAGCTCTGAAGACAAATTCAAAGCACCCCTAAGGTAGGCTCTCAGCCGGCCAAGCACTCACTTTCTCTAAAACCCACTGTGGTGGACACGGCCTTCAGGGGCATAACCTAACCTAAGGAGGATTGCATGCCATATGCAGAGCGGGGACTAGAGATATAACTTAGTGGCATAGCACTTGCCTGACTTAGAGCCCTAAGTTCAGTTCCCAGTACTAAAAAGAAAAAAACGATATTGGACTAGGGATGTAGCTCCCTAGTTGAGTAGCAACATTAAGCCCTAGTTCGATCCTCTGTCGAAGAGGAGGTGGCAGCAGAGGAGGCAACTGCACAGGGCAGGAAGGAGCAGACATGGCCCAGGAAGGCCAACCTGAGCACAGCCTAACAACATACCCCGACACGAAGGTGAGTCGTTCCTCTTCCTAGAATCATCTCTGCCTCAACCACCACCCAAGTGTCATCCCAACAGCAGGCACACGGGCTATTTCTTAATGTGCCACACAAGGGCAGTGGTCTGTTGCTCAGCCCTTCAAGATGCAGCTCAAACCTCCATCCTTACACTTCTACCATCCTAAAGCCACAGTCCAAAGCTTCACTCTTGGCCTCCCACACCCATCGTTCACACCTCCAGAAATCATCTGGCCTGCTGTAGTTGAATGAATCTCCAAATCAGGACAACTCAGCACAGATATTAGACTTCATCATGAGTTTATCAAAGCAGCAGCTGCGTTTTTTCATTGAGTTTTGATTTTGGTGGGCTTCTGGGGGCAAACTCCTTCTATCATACTGACAGCCTCACAGCAGCTCAGTCCCTCATGACTGGTCTCAGGGAAGACATTGGTAGCACACACACACACACACGATCCATGAAGCAGGATCTTGTGGACCTCTGGTGCTGTTTTAGCATTCATAAACAGCTTTCCAGAGGAAGTAAGTAAGTATGTATGTATGTATGTATGTATGTAAGTATTGGCCAGCAAGGAGATGAGAGTTGGTTAAGAGAAGATACAAAGGGGAGAGGAAAACTGTCTAGGGGTTTGCAGGCCTTCACGGTGGTTGGAGTAGAAGGGTGCAAGTGACAAGAAGGGGGCTATCCTAAGGCAAAGGAAAACGCTTGAATTCTAGGCAGCCGCGCCAGGTTTGTATTTAAATAGCACGGGGAGCGGGGTATGGTCCGGAAGGCGGGGCAGAAAGACCGGACGCGGAAGGCAGCAGAAGCCGTGAAAAGAAGAACGCGTAGAGCAAAGGGTGGAGGGCTGTTGCCCTCAAAACCCGAAGGCCGCGGCCTGCAAGGTGGCAGCAGGCGGGCAGCTGGCAGCGAGAGAGGGCAGGAGGGGATCCTGATCACAGCGCTTGGCTGAGGCTTGGGAGTTTAAAGCTGAGAAGATCAAGGGCGTGGCTGGAAAGAGACCCACGGTCCGCCGCCCGCCGCCCGCCGCCCACCGCTCGCAGCTTCACACGCACCTCCTTGGCGATCACAGCGATGCACACCGCCATATTGGCAGGCCGTGCGCCGCATCATGTGACCCGATGGCGGTCAGGCCCCGCCCATCGCCCTCCCTCTGTGCCTTAGACCCCGCCTTTCTCCGCAGAGCCTGTGCCCGGCCTTTCAGGTCAGGCCTTGATTCCGACCCCTTTCCTCTCAGGCGCGAGTCCCACCTCTCCCGTTAGGACGCTGGCAGCACCCCAGCTTCTGTTGCTCCGTCCCACTTTTCCTGTCAGGCCCCGCCTATCGTGTCACTCAGTCTGGCAGGCCCCGCTCTCTTGCAAAAGCTCTGTGGGGTCCGGGCTTCTCTGGCAACCTATCCTGTTTGGCGGCATCGCAGACCCAACGTCCTTTCTCGTCAGGCCGAGCCCACTCTTCTTGTCAGTAAGGCGGCCTAGGTCCCGCCTCTCCTGTCACTCAGCCACCAGGGCCCGCCCCGCAGTCCAAAAGGAAACGCCGCGAAATTGGGACTGGGTCTTGGCTCCGCTGCAGGAGCTTGCTTGCCATGGCGGCATATGCCAGAGCGACCAGAGGATTGCAGCAGCTGCTGGTTCTGAGCGCCTTAGGACTCTTGGCCACAGGTGCTCCACAGCCTCCCAACATCGTGCTGATGCTCATGGACGATGTGAGTGGGGTCGCGCGGCGGGGGTATCCGGCGGTGACCCAGCCCCCGGTGTCACTCTCTAATTTCCATAGTGGGGGTTCGTGTTCAGGGAGGTTCTCCCCCTATCTCCCCGGAGAAGGGACCTGGCATTCCTCCTCCCCTCGGTGCCCACCTCCAGCCTGGGCCTCTGGGAGAACTCTGACCAAAGCCCCGGGGTTGATCTGCCTCGGTGTCCCTATCTGAAGAGTATGACTCTCTGAAGTGAAATGAAAGCTTAGAAACCAACACTGGATCAGATAGAACTATCTAAACTGTACTGGACCCTGTCTTCCTCTGAGCCTCAGCCCGCCACCCCCCTCCTCCTCACTCCACCCCAGACTCACACTACAGAGTGGCACCTGTCAGCTAGTGTTAGAACCGGAGTCACATCCAGTTCAGGTTGATTTGGAATAGTCGTGGGCACCCCAGAGGCTAATAGCCTACGCTGCCCTCTCCACAGAGCCTTCAGACCTGTGCTGATCCACACTTAACTCCTCAAAGTGGTACCCATGTATGTAAAATAAGTTGGATTTTAGAGACGTAGGAGGAGAAAAAGAAAGTAAACACCGCATTTGATAGTCATTAGGTTAGTGGTTATCATGAAGAAAAATATGCAACTAAAAAGTCCTATACATAACCCCACTACCCAGAATGCACTGCAGGGAACCTTGAATGCTTTCTCCAGCTTCCCATCTTATGTGGACAATGACTAAATCACACTCTGGATGCCCGGCTCCTCCGGCTCCCGTTCTGGTGGCTGGTAGCAGGCTTTCCACAGTAATAAGAAGTACTGAAGATATATATCACATTCATAGATAGTGCCTTTCAGTATTTGGCCCTTTTAGAGCCAAATCACACTGGCTTGGTTTGCTGGTCTATTGGTTTGCTTGATCAGAAGTACTGACTACTATCTACGGCCATACCACCCTTAATGCCCCTGGTCGGGCCTGGTTAGTACTTGGATGTGAGGAGTACTGACTACAGACGCTTGTCTGTCAGTTCTCTGCTCTCTCCTTTCCAAATGACAGCCTACGAGAACTGAGAGGTCCTTTCTAACACTCCATTAGACTGCTGCAGAGTGATAAAATAACAGACTTTGGATAATTGAGGTAAGTAAATGTACTGTTAGCCTTCATCTTGCCTCCTTGCTTTTATTTTTTGGTTTGTTTATTTGCTTGGTTTTTTGAGACATGGTCTTGCTATGTAGTTTTGGTTGGCCTGAAACTCACTCTGTAGCCCAAGCTGGCCTTAGACTCAAGGCAATCATCCTGCCTTGGCCTCCCCAGTACTAGGATTACAAGCATGAGCCACTGAATCTAGTAACTTAATTTTGTTTCTAATGTGGTGACCAGAAAATATAAAGTTATATGTAAAGCTCAGAGTGCATTTCTGTTGGGCAACAGCAGATAAGTAGGAGGGTATTGGATAATGGGATATAACTAGCACCAGATCGGTTAACCTGCAGGTGGTTGGTTAGGAACCCCACCACCTACCTTCTGCAACACTTGGGTCTTGTCAGGTAGGGACTTTTGATACATATAACTGAAAATGAACTCAACTTCAGCAAAACTGGGAATCCCTGGCTTTACCAACTAAATCACTCTGACTTAAAGCAAATAGGTTCCAGGCTTCCCCTTTTATAAGTCTGCTTCTGTAAGCTGGCCCCTGGTGGCCCTGTGACAGCCTCATGGCAGCCCTAGGCAACTCCCAGCTCACTTACCCACTGTGAGTAATCCTAGTAGGGCAATGACTTTTGCTGACTCAGACCCACTCCTGACCCAAGCATAAGTTGAGAAGAATATGCTGGACAGTCCAGCAGGGAAGCTGAGCCCACCTCTGGAAAGAACACCCTGGGTGAGGAGGCCCCCTGGGTTCATTCTATTTCAGGGTGCCTGTGCCAGAAGAGGCAAGAATGCCAGGAGAGGAGAAAAGCCCTGAGGTGCCCCCTAGGTGGCAGATAAGGACAGCCTCAGCAGCACAGGGGCCTCCATACTTGTCCCTTCTCTGCTGCAAACCCCTTCCTTTATTCTCTATAACTGCCTTTGCCAGGCTGATCGAATCTGACATGGTTCCTAGCTCCAGGCTTGGCACTGTCTGATTGTCTATGATTGTCTCTAATTTAAATTCTTCAAGGATTGCACTGACTTTGAACTGGTTGACCATGGTCCTGTCCTGCCCTGGTCATAGCATGAGTGTCTGGAGGGTATGCTCTAGATAAGCCCCTTTTCCCTGAGAGGCTATCATTATCAAACAGGGGCTGGGTTCCCAAAACTAACATAGTGAACCATACATGGCCTAATCACCTGCCAGTCACATTGACTTGTAAAAGACTCTACACCACTCCTATGCTAAGGGTTACAGCCAGCGTAAGAGGCTGGTTTGTTTTAAATGACAGCATAATTAGAGTGTATGTGCAACTCCTATTCCCACTCAGAAACTCACATTGTAAGCCCTGTCTTGCAGCATTGTATGTGGCTACCTATTCCTCAAGGCATACTTGGATCCACCTGCCTCTGCCTCCCAAGTGCTGGGATTAAAGATGTGTACCACTGCCACCTAGTGATATACTCAACTGTATATAAAATTCACAGAATATCTCTCTTATACCATGTGTTGCATAGGTTGATTCCTTAACCCCTGATAACTGAAGGGTAGAAGGTAGCATGCTTATCTTCACAGAAAGAGCTGAAGTGGTAAGGAAAAGGTTAATCAAGGAATGGAAGCATGCAGTTGGACTGCTGTGCTCAGGAAGGCCATTGTAGGATGTTGCCTTTAGTGGGCACTGGAATCTGGGTGTCCCTACCCTGAGAAGAATGGTTTCCTGCATCTAAGCAATGTGCATAGCTATAGTGATTTATAGGGAACACCACCTCCCCCTTTCACCACAATCTTGCTCTGGATTTTGCTTGACTCCTCAGCGCTTGTGATCTCTGTGAAAAGAATTTAGATAAGACATACAGACTATAGAGTAAGAGATAGGTAGAGTTTATTATAAACCTATAAACAGGTCCTCTCGAGGGTGAGAGTAGACAATGCTCAAGGAATGAGAGTGAACAATGACCAAAAAGGACCATTGCAGAGCAAAATACTCATGGTTATTGAAGGTAGGTATGGGTTAAAAGTATGGGTTAAAAGTATGGGCAGGTTCATTGGCCTAGTGCCCTCCCTAACATGAGCTGAGTGGAACAGAGGAGGACAAACACAACCCAAGTTAAAGTAAGCTTTGGTCCTAGCTGCAGTGATGGCACATGCCTTTAGTTCCAGCACTCAGGAGACAGAGGCAGGCAGAACTCTGAGTTCAAGGCCAGCCTAGTCTACAGAGTAAGTTTTAGGATAGCCATGGCTACACAGAGAAACCCTGAAGAGAGAGAGAGAGAGAGAGAGAGAGAGAGAGAGAGAGAGAGAGAGAGAGGTATGTCTAACCTGCAGCTACATGCCCAACATAAGAATCATAAACTTACATAAAACATACTTTTGTGATTTTTTTTGTTGTTGTTGCTCTGCAGTACTGCAGGTTTCCCCCACCCACCCACCTCCCAGACAGGGTTTCTGTGTAACTTTGGAGACTGTCTTGGAATTTGCTCAGTAGACCAGGCTAGTCTCAAACTCACAGAGATCCGCCTGTCTCTGCATCCTGAGTGCTGGTATTAAAGGTGTGTGCCACCAATGCCCCTTTTGTGATATTTTTGTAATTGATGACAGTTCTCAAACATGAAATCTGTAGGAGACAGCAATATATCAAAAAGACAAAATATTGTACATGCCTACATCTATTAATGTTATGGCTCCACCCAGGGTCATAAATACAATTCTGGTCACATCCTATGAACCAGTGATTAGTCCCACAATTTCAGGTCTTGGTTTTGCAAGCTCATCGTTAAGGATCCATCCCAAATAACTTCCAAGCCTACTAATATCCAATTAGTTATCTAATAGCCCTGTGCATCTTGTCATCTTAGTGTGTGTGAATGAAGTACAAGGTGCCTTCATGACCAGCCCAAAGTGAGAACTCTAGATCCTAAACCACTCACAAGTTCTCTGGTTGATTCCACCCATATGTGCCATCACAGCTTGATCTAGGGGGAAGCAGGCTTGTAGCATAAAGCCATGCGGGCAGGATGCTGGAAGCTGCCTGGTCTAGACCTCCCAATGCCACCCTGTTCCTCCTCCTCCTTGTCTTGTTTTACTGCTTGCCATCCCTTCACTGTGATGAGCCATAGATGGGAGTTGACTGCATGTCCTTCCTCCAGTGAGAGTTTTCCACAGTTGATCCAAAGCAGTTTACATCTCAGAGGGAGTAAGAGTTTATTCTGAGCCAAATCTGAGGGATCACTGTCTCATGGGTTCAGGTTTCCTTGCATAACATTCCAATGTGGAAGTGAAATAAGGTCATACTCATGAATTTGGAGAAATACAATTCTT